AGAAAGATTGTCAGTATATTTGTTGCTGAGGTAAGGCCCAGTGGCGGCGCCAAGCCAAGCGGGCGGGGGTCAAGATTAGCCCTCCCATTAATCTGGTCTGCCCCCTGTTTGACACCCACCCCATTATTTGTAATATGTTTCGGTAATCAATAACCATAAGTTATAAGTAAGTAATTAAACGTGAACCATTTTTACGATCCTCAAAGGTTTGGGCATAGGTTCAACGCGGCAAGAATATTCATTCACACACACCGTGATTTGGCGACAGACAGTATCTGGTCAGCTCTATTTCTCAAAATAACGGGGGCTTCGTTGAGGTTCGCAAGACCGTTCGTTTGACACTTTCCTCTCTGGTCGGATAAGTGATCAGGCGACAGGCGGTATCTGGTAAGCTCTATTTATCTCGACAATCGATGCATGAATGCTGTCAGACTACATTTCCGGTAAGGGCTTTGTCGAGGTTCGCAAGTCTGGTCAGGTAAACCCGTGGTCAGGCGACAGACGGTATCTGGTCAGACATATTTATCTCGACGATCAGTGCCTGCATTTTCGGCAGTCTGTTTTTCAAAAATCTCTGGGGGTTCCCCTACCCCTAGTTGAAATTCGCGCGATTTGCCGCCTTAACCTAACCTTGGACTTTACCCCTCCATCCACCGGCGGATAGCGCCGCCACTGGTAAGGCCGACCAAATTTGATTTTGTATGGATTTAATAGTCGATAAATGCGCTGAAAATTTCACGTGCGATGGTTATTTATAATCAGTTCGGGACTAGTCACTGAAGCGTGCACATTCGCTGTGGCGTGTTCAACTTTTAATAGAGAAAATTTTGGCTGTGTGGGGAACCCTACTTCTGGAACACCTTTAAAAATTTCTTTCTTATTCTGCCGGAAAAAAATCAGATTTAAAAACCAAAAGTACTTGGTTGTGCTGTTCAAAAGCTTTTAGTTCCATTTTTTTTTAATCTTTGAAAATTTAAACAAACATCTTTCACGTGATTCAAGTGACTATAAATTAAATTAGTCTGGCCTATAGTGGTTTTCAAAAAAGTTAGTGGGCATGCGAAAATTGCTTTGATTCTATTAAGTCAGTTCTTAGATTTTCGATAATCAGCTGCGCCTAGGGTTATTTTAGATATGATATTATATGAAACTGATCACTATTATTTTTCTGTTGAAAATTCTAATGTATTAAGTTAGCATAACCATGGACCGCATATTATAACTGATAACGTATATTTCTCCTGTCGTAGTTAGCCATACGATATAACATTTGTCGATTACATGTTTAATTATAGATCGTCAAGGTTACATTTAACGACCGAACACCTATATTCTACGACCGATATTAGAACAATACAATTTTGTTTTAAACGAGATTGGTTATACATTGTGCCGGATGCAAAAATTATCGAGACAAAATGTCGATATGACATGAAACGCCTTCATTTCAAGTTACTCTATCAAAATCTATTGCATCTATATTAATCCTGTTAACAGTTGTAAATGTTACCCCCGAGCACTTACAGCCACAAATAACACAGCCTAATGAGAACTGTGGGTGATCTTATTTCGTCTAGACGCGGGATTAACATACAGCAAAGGAAGACCAACATTTATCAAGATACGCCACAGGCTATCAATCGGGTAAAAATTCGAAAAGCCTTTCCAGAGAAATGTCATAAAAGTGTTCTTAATAAAGATTTATTGAAAGACATGTCACTCAGGGATAGTAATTAGGCATATATCAATAATATCTGTCTACCCTTAGAATGACCTCATAAGCGTGAATTGTTACCCCGTAAGCATGCGCCATAAAGTTTAGAATAGCCTCGTAACTATCCATTATAAAAATTGGAATAATTGTGTTCAAAAATACCGATCAACTCCAAAATCGGATTTATAAGATAAAGATAGGTTGCCAGGCAACGAAACAAACGCCCACAGCAGCTAAATCGTCCGGGCAGTCAACAAGAGTTGTCGCATATTTTTACTTTTTTCGGTAATGAAACATTTATAATACACTACAATCTGATTAAGAGTAACAACTCATTAAGTAATTATCAGAAAATCATTAGAATTTGTTTGGTTTTGCCACATGCTAACGTTTAGTATACGAAACATTTTATATCATGGATTTAGCTGTTCAAGTTGTCAAAATTCATTGAAAATCAATATACGTGTTCGTCTCGAGACCTTAAACTCTGTGTATCAATCTGAAGTCAATCGGGTGATAACTTTAGCCTTTAGAGCATCCACAAGATTTTTTGAATTGATCAAGGTCAATAACTCTGGAAGTAATTATCGGAAATCGCTGATAATCAAAAAACTTCTTCGTCTCATGACCATAAACACTGTGTATAAATTTTAAGTCAATCGGATATTAACTTAAGCCTATAGAGCGTCCACGAGCAGTTGTGGACGCCGATCGGACGGACGGGGGCGACGACAATATACGACCACATTTCAAAATGCAATTTAATCCACATTTTAGAATTTACTCCCAAGATCAATTTTTTAATGATATTGTCGCCATAGGTTAAATATCGACAGAATGTGAACTGGGCAATACATGCATGGTCGGTTAGAATTTGCCTATTCAATACCATTTTCTTCACAAGAAAGCTCATCACAAACAAGGCTTTTTAATGGCATTAATATCAATTGTGGTTTATAATTCCTGAAATATAATCGACCGACGTCTGACATGGGCTATAAAGGCTGACAAAAAAGTATCTTAATTCGAAATTAAGAAACCTGTAGGAACACACACTCACCCACATACACACACCAGATTTATTGACAACATAACACAAAATAAAGTGTGCACAAAAGAACGCCTTTATTAGCCCATTTAGTCGGTGCATGGAGCCTCGGTGGCTAAGTGGGTAGGACGCTGACTCGCTAGCCTGGAGGTCCGGCGTGGTTCCCCTTGTCAGTGGTGCAGGATGGAGGGGCTGACAAGGAAAGCTGTTTAGTCGTTCGGATGGGAAGAAAAACCGAGGTCCCGTGTATACATTGGTGTGCGTGTAAAAGATCCCTTGGCAGTTGGAATTCGATATAAGAGTATGCCATAGTGCCGCTGCCCGGGCAAATTTTCCCTCATAGCACACTGTATGGCGTATGCCGGTCTTCGTTAGTCGGAGCAGAACAGTAGGACGTTAAACCCCATTTCATTTCAGTCGGTGCAGAAACGTATAGGGCGATATCTGTACCAAGCGTGAGCAATATTGAACTTTTGTGTTATGTGAACATATTTTGATGTGCGAGACGTCCTTGTTTAATATTAGCTCACCACGCCAGTCGCCCAGTCCTAAAAAAAACTGAATGCATAACTTTGAATGAACGTCCTTCTCTGTTCCAACCGGGATAATGAATTATAAGGTAAAGGTAGCTACGTCAAAAGCGCACAACAAGTGACTGGTATTCAAAAGATGTGGCAATAAAAATTATGATAGGGTTGGTATTGTTCACATGATTAAACGATGATAACATAATGTGGGATCTGTCAGTCAAAGAGAGGCAACTCCTAAACTGAATTAATAGAGACCATAGATATAGATTTGTTTATGGGCAAGAAGCAAGCAATAACAAAAAAATTGAATTACGTTGTATGTAATTTAAGGCAAAAAAAAGAGTATGTTTCCGTTTTTGTTTTATATATATATATATATATATATATTTACATATACAACATAGGTCTTTAATTTGAACTTAAATCGTTGCGGGAAAACCTAGCTGTAGCCTATAATAAATACATGGTGGACCGCGAGCCCTAGGAAGAGACTGTCAGGCCCACGGCAGTATACTCATGTCTACAAATTTTCAGAATTATTATTCACCCCAATTCAAAACTCAAATATATACCAGAATGAATAAGGTACCAAATAGGCTACTCAACAACCAGAACTACTAACTAATAAGTGTAAATAGTTATGAGCATCGTGTAAAAGGCAGTATGCAATTAAACACACTACTATATCTTTTTCAATTTTCCCCTGGTATTAGAGTCCACGTACAATTGAACTTTAGGTAAAACATACGGTATCGCATTGAGTTGACATAATGTGTTATTTCGATTACTGACGAGGCAAGGCTATGCGATTAAACTATTGTTTTGAAAGTTTAAGCAAATGTCGGCTTGTTTAGTTTTGAGTATGTTTACCGTGTCCTCAAGGGAAAAAATGAAATGAAATGAGGTTTAATGTCGGACAACTGTTTTGCTCCGGTGAAAAAAAAATCTGTAATAATAAAAATGTAAAATTTTCAACAAAGACAGATTTTCTTGTCATCGCATAAAACAAAAATCCAGGGTAACCGACAATTTTATTTTGAATCTAAATTTAAGATATTTAAAGCTTTACGGGAACATGAATTATTAAGTTTAGACCAGTTAAGCCCCTTTAATTTTCCCCGTATCTGAAATCTTTTATTTCTATCTCGGAAGCGTTAAACCCATTGATAGTTGAAATAACTAAGATATGCTTATTCTGGAAGGTACAGGGCATCATTTACATTTATGTCCATAATAGAGGTCATAAATTTACCGAACGGTATAAAAAACGAGTTGCCGATTATTATCCATCATTCTAGCGGTAATAATATTGGAACGGGTTCACCGTAGTTTCCACATTATACACATGCATGTAAACTATCGCTTCGATGTGCGCTTTATATTTTGCGTACCGTATTACTATTAGCCGAGCAGAAATCAATGTCAATTCTGCCAATTATAATTCACTGCACTTTAATATAAGCCAAATCTGAACCCTTCAATGCTGAATTCATTTTGCTATTGTTATCGTCCGGGAGTACCACTATGCTCACCTATTGTCTATTCATTTGACCGTGCAGTGCATTGTGAATCATGTCTTCCACGATTTAAAGGTGCACAAAGATCGCTGACCTGCTGTTACAAATTAAAAACAAAACAAACACACGTGTTTTATCTAATTATAGAAATATAGGACACTTCCGGCTCTTTGCCGTGGCATTTTGGGAAGGCAGCTTACTTCAGGCTTGAAAGTAGGCCTATTTTGTTGATAATATTTTGCATAATTCAGAAATATGGAGGAAGCCTCTGGGAGTGCAAAATCCACAGAAGAGGATAAAACAGTTACACTGGAGCTTAAAAATGGTAAAGAATTCGCAGTGCACCTGAGCGCAATGCTGCAAACGCAAATAAACACCGTCTGCTTCAACTTGGTTTATCATTGATTGCACTGTCACACTGCTGCCGTGCAGTGTGTGACACCATAGAGTCAGAGAAGCAGTGTCATAATATAAAGATATAGCCTGTTTACTAATAACGGAGTGTGATATGCAAGCATACAAAATCCGACTTGTTTATCTGTAACACAAACATAAGCAATTGGAGGCTATTAATAGAAATATGGACTAATACCTGAAGATGATTTGACTAAAATTTAAAAAACAAAAACATTATTATATAAGTTTGGTCTAAATGATTATCATTACACAATAAATGTGCACTGTATATTACAGTAATAATAAATAAGATCCACCTTCATCCATTATATTAATGTCTAAGTTTAAATGCGGGTTCATAAATTGTTGTTTTTGGTTAAGATCAAACCAGAGGTATGATATCGAAGCTGTGTTGTTTTTTTTTATAATCCTGATGTTATATTTTCAGTAACATTGACTAACACTTGTAAAAATATCTGATGTCATTGTTTATTTCAAGTTGATTTAGTTACATTCAATTTCTAATGAAAGCATTTTTTAGAAATTGAATGCTGCCGTCGCTGGTAATGCTATCCTATAGTTTTTCTGACTACACTACACTAATTCTTTAAAATTTGGTTCACATTTGATCATGTTTGTGGATGGAACCTTCTTGTCAAATTCAATGTAGCCAACTCATCACCAAGCACTGGTCACTTGGTTAAACTAAACCTATGCCAAACATAATCTTTGACAACCTTTGTAGTTTGAAAATTTCCTTTTTCTTTTGCTTATTGTTATATGCTTTTGCCAACTTTTGGCATTTATTTTTCAAGCATGTCTTTAGCATTAGAAAGTTAAGGTGTTATATATAACTACAATTATATGAAGTTAAGGCATCATTATGGCTACAGGTATAAGTTATAGACTCTTTTAAGTTAAGGCTGACAAGAGGGGAAAGGGAACAATAATAATTAACTTTTTTTTAGGACATGAACTTAATCAGGCATCCAGTTACTGAGTTAGCATGCTGCTCATAAATAGCAATACCATGTGAAAATTTGTTAGCCAGATTAAAACACAGATCTATATTTTGTTTTGTTTCTTTATACTTTTGATGGCTCCACTACATGAAGATCTGACAGGTTGTAATTGGAGGTCGGTTCAGGGGTCATATGTGCATTTGTACCCTATGCATCAGCCATTCGATTAACCAATCAGCATCTGTTTTTCAAGTGGCTATTCAGAAATACAACTTTTACTTATTTTATTTTGCTATCGCTGCAAATGTCAACCCACATTTTCGTGTCCCAGACAACATGAGAACTTGACTCAACAGATCATTTGATTGACTAAATGCCTCACATCAACCAGAATGTGGGTTATTTAACAACACTTCCAGATCCTGGTGTAGTGAAGAAAAGTAAAGCGAAATTTTGGACTATAAAAAATGAAACGATAATAGGATCTGCGTTTTAATCAGAATGGCCAAATGAAAATGTTATGAAATTATGTACTATACACAAAATGATAGTGTCGTAAATTTATTCGGATAGATACAACTTATTAGTGTTAAAACCTGTATCTATGTGATATTCAATATTATTGTCCCCCGCCTTTCGAAGAAAGCAGGGGACTATTAAAATGGGTTCGTCTGTCTGCATGTCTGTCTGTCTGTCTGTCCATCCGTCCGTCTGTCCATCACACTTTTTGGGACACAATAACTCTCCTTCTAATTGACCTAGAATGTTCAAACTTGGTGTAGGTGTTTATTAGGTCAATGCCTTGATGGAGTTCGAAGATTAGCATTTTCGGCTTAGGGTAGGCAGAGATAATCAATTTGATTGGTGGATGCTTTGGGACACGATAACTTTAGTTCTAATTAAGTGAGAGTGATGAAACTTGGTGTATAATTTCATTACATCAATACCTTGACTAAGTTCGATAATGAGCATTTTCTGCTCAGGGTTAGCAGAGCGATAAGCAATTTGATTGGCCGAGACTTTGGAACACAATAACTGTATTTCTAATTGAGCTAGAATGTTCAAACTTGGTGTAGGTGTTTATGAGGTCAATGCCTTGATGGAGTTCAAAGATGAGCATATTTTTCTGCTTAGGGTAAGCTGAGATAAGCAATTTGATTGGTTGATGCTTTGGAACACGATAACTTTAGTTCTTATTAAGTGAGAGTGATGAAACTTGGTGTATAGTTTCATTACATCAATACCTTGACTAAGTTCGATGATGAGAATTTTCTGCTTAGGCTAAGGAGCAATAAGCATTTTGATTGGTCAAGACTTTGGAACATAACAACTCTGCTTCTAATTGAGATAGAATGTTTAAACTTGATGTAGATGTTCGTCTTGATTGAGCTAAAGCTAAGCAGAGATAAACAATTTCCTTGGTCAATGATTTGGGACAAGATAACTTTGATTCTATCTGATAGAGAGTGATGAAACTTAGTCACTTTAGTGTATAGTTGATAATCAGTTTGATTGCTTGATACTTTTGAAAAAGTATCATCTATGTGTCATCTATTTATTTGGGGATTTCGGCAGGGGACATCAGCCTCACTGTTGGCTTGTTAGTATACCCAACCACATTCCATCAGTTCGTCCGTTCACTTTTACAGACTATAGTTCTAGGTTTTTTTTGGGTTGTTTTTTTTTTTTCAAACAACAAATTGTTTATTTCATCATAAGGAAGATCCCTACCAAAATTTAATATTTTATTGAACAATTTTTGGAGTTATTTCCCCATTTATGTCTAGACTTGATGTATAACACTGAACATAATTTTTAAACGAATTATTTGAAACTGAGTGGGATTGCTCATTGTAAAGCTAATTGTAAATTATTTTACTGGTCACATTTTGACTTTGAAACCCTGTGAACACAATACAGGACAAACTTGACGGAGAGAGAGATAAATGGGGTTTAACGTTCACTTAGCACAGACTAGATTATTTCGGAACTAAAATATAGTTCAATTTTATTTCAATAATTCGCTTGCGCAAAGGGGTCTTTAGCAGTGGGAGGAAACCAGAAGACCCAGAGAAAAATCACTAGTTTGGACAGGCAACCTACTCCTTGTCACATACAAGCGGGGAATCAAAACCACGCCACTTGACTCCATGACAGACCCGATCCAACCTGCAAGCGGCCAACCAACCCCGCCAGTCATTTGAATGTGATACAGGACAAAGTTCTGTATGGATTTTTATAAAATGTGGTGAGATTTTGCTTAGTTTGACATCTGAAACTTGTGAATCCATCCAGGATAAAGTTCTCAACCATAGTATCAATTAGTGTATACTTTATACCAATTACCGGTACATTAAAAGCATTTGAAAAATCACTGTCCAACATGGAAGTTGATCTAGATAAGGATGAAAACCTTAAGACTCCCATATTTCAATGGGCTATTATTGGGACATTGACAGATCGCAGCATCAGCTTGCCTATTGGATCATTAGAAACAGCTGTGGTATCTGGCAATATCCTGTAAACATTACTGTGTTAAAGGGACAATAACACTCTGGCTGGCTTGACAGCTCCAGAAAATAATATATATAGCCTTATTCCAAGTACTAGATGTGTTAGTGTCTTACCTGTTGTGTAAATTATCCATTAAATCCTATTTTACTTGTCCAGAGGGTTCAAAAATATTTTTAAATCCAAGTCACATTTGAAAAGCTTTACATCCGGCTTTTCAAATCATTTAGTTGAATTTTTCCAATTTTTTAAATTAGGTGTGTTAAGATGAAATTTATATCACCAATTAATTGGAATATTGTAAAATAGTACAATTTGTTGACCAGAATAAAGATTGGGACATATTATTCAGTTACAACAAGAGTGGTATTGAGCCTTTAAGAAAAGAAACAAATAATATAATCTTATATTTTTATATTTCAGTGAATCTCACTGGTAAAGAAGATAAAGTTGGAATGGAAGATTTTGAATTATTGAAAGTGTTAGGGACAGGAGCTTATGGAAAAGTGTTTCTTGTCCGAAAATATGATGGAGCAGATCAAGGGAAATTATATGCTATGAAAGTTTTGAAAAAAGCCAGTATAGTTCAAAAGACAAAAACTACAGAACACACAAAAACAGAAAGACAAGTTTTAGAAGCAATAAGAGAATCACCTTTTTTAGTGACACTTCATTATGCATTCCAGACAGATGCTAAATTACATCTTATATTAGGTAAAAAAAGAAATATACTGTGAGAAATCCAATGCGAAATACATTTTGCTGAAGTTGAATTTCTAACTGGAATATCCGTTCAAAAATGGTTCATTTCCATTTAGTATTACAAAGATGATGAATTAAAAGTTTGTCAACATTCAGCATCACCTGCAGTCGATATAAAAGGGATATGATCGAGGGTCAGCACCATCTGTAATCTTTGCTACAATCTTTTGATGGTCCTCTTTTTAATCCAATTGAATTCAAACCAGGAAATTATCAACAGTTGATATTTTGATTTTGAGTACATGTTCTGAAAAATGCAAGTGATGTACAGAAAGAAATGAGTGTCTTCGTTGTATCTTTTAATTGCTAAATTGACTATCAGTAACAGAATCTAATATTTGCCAGTTTTAATGTTTTAATTACCGTAATTAAGTTTTATATGGAAAATGTAGTAGAAAAATATCACTGCATGATGTACCTGACAGTTATGTTCTACTGTATTTGATTTCTTTTCTATTTACTGATGTCATATAGAGAAAATGAGCACAGCACAAATAGCCATTATAGTAAATTGATATAAAAATATGTACAGAAAACATTTTTGACGGTCAATTCTGCCTATTGTAATAATTTACATATTTGTTGCAGATTATGTTAGTGGAGGTGAAATGTTTACACATCTATATCAAAGAGAAAGATTTAATGAAAATGATGTGAAAATATATATAGGAGAAATTGTACTTGCATTAGAAACACTTCATAAGGTAAGCAATTCACTGAATTCAGTGACTTCTTTTTGTCCTACGCCTTTCGAAGAAAGCAGGGGACTATTAAAATGGGTTCGTCTGTCTGCATGTCTGTCTGTCTGTCTGTCCATCCGTCTGTCTGTCCATCACACTTTTTGGGGCACAATAACTCTCTTTCTAATTGAGCTAGAATGTTCAAACTTGGTGTATGTGTTTATTAGGTCAATGCCTTGATGGAGTTCAAAGATGAGCATTTTCGGCTTAGGGTAAGCAGAGATAAGCAATTTGATTGGTTGATGCTTTGGGACACGATAACTTTAGTTCTAATTAAGTGAGAGTGATGAAACTTGGTGTATAGTTTCATTACATCATAACCTTGACTAAGTTCGAAAATGAGCATTTTCTGCTCAGAGTAAGCAGAGCGATAAGCAATTTGATTAGTCGAGACTTTGGAACACAATAACTCTCCGTCAAATTGAGCTAGAATGTTCACACTTGGTGTAGGCATTCATTAGGTGAATGCCTTGATGGAGTTGATGATGAACATTTTCTGCTTACGGTAAGCAGAGATAAGCAATCTGATATGCTGATGTTTTGGGGCATGGTAACTTTGGTTATAATGAAGTGAGAGCGATGAAACTCTGAATATAGATTCATTATATCATTACCTTGACTAAGTTCGATGGTGAGAATTTTCTGCTTAGGCTAAGGATCGATAAGCAATTTGATTGGTCAAGACTTTGGAATATAACAACTCTGCTTTTAATTGAGGTAGAATGTTTAAACTTGATGTAGATCTTCATTAGATGAATGTCTTGACTGAGTTCAATGATTAACATTTCGAGCTGAAGCTAAGCAGAGCTAATCAATTTCAATGCTTTGGTACAAGTTAATCTTGATTCTATCTGATAGAGAGTGATGATACTTGGTGTATAGTTTGATTGCTTGATACTTTTGAAAAAAAAATAAATGTGCGATTTATTAATATGTGTCATCTATTTATTTTGGGATTTTGGGGGCTTGTTATGTTCTGTGCCATATGTATTAAAACAAGACCTCTTTGATTTGGGAGAAGTATGAGTTGATTTATTTTATAAGTTCTGAAATTTTCTGTGTTTAAAGCTCCAATGTGCCAAAGGAACAATAACAATTATTCTTCTTACATACTTATATAAATTTTAAAAAAAGTCAGGACCAAAAAGTGTACTTTTCATAGTAATTTAGAGTGCATATACATGATTATAGGTTAGATTACAGATCTATCCTTTGTTGAGCTTGATGTCATTGTGTTATCTTTCGTCTGTTAACTAAAAGTTTATTAAAATGAAGATGGCAACATGAAATCCAATACAAGAAAGGGAACTTTAGAACTTGACCTAATGACCAATATTAATCAATTTTGGACCCAAATCAATTATTTCCTGTTTCAAATGAAATATTTCCTGTTTCAAATCAAGTGAAATCCACTATATAAAGATAAATCAGTGGTTTCATATATAATTGATATAGTTTCAGCTTGCTATGATATATCATGATGTAAAGAATAAGAAATGTTTTGATATATTGATATAATTTCAGCTTGGTATGATATATCGTGATATAAAATATAAAAAATGCTTTGATGTATATTATCGATATAATTTCTGTTTGGTATAATACATCGTGATTTCTGATATAATTTCAGCTTGGTATAATATATCGTGATATAAAGTTAGAGAATATATTACTAGATGACGAAGGACATATTGTTTTAACAGATTTTGGTTTAAGTAAAGAGTTTTTACCCAGTGATGATGTGAGTAACATCTAAAACAAACTATTCTAAGACTTGAATAGTGTGTGCAGGTCGACCGCATTAAATGCAAACAAGACTGATAAGACCAGTCTTGGGGATCTAATGATACAGGCTTAAAAAATGAATGATTTACAAGAAAGACGTAATAGAAATAATGCAACCAGTCTTGACAGTGGTTGTCTCCTGAATGGGGTAGAATGTAAAAAAATTTAACAATAATAAGGGCAATAATCCAGTTAGAATTTCGGAAAACATTAAAAATTCATAAATAAAGTGCAGTGAGCAAACAGGATGAACCTGTCAAATATAAACCTTGCATGTTAGAAAGATATATACACTATTTCACATTTTTCCCTCTTCTCCTGAACTACTGGATGGATATCAACCAAATGCTACTTGGGTTTTGCTTATTCAGATTGGTTCAATCAAGTTCTTCAGCCCTTTAGGATAGGATCGTGATAGGACAACATGAAAGAGGAAAGTTTTGAGGTTTTCTTATTACCTCTTGGGCCTTGAACTACATATTGTAGTATACAAATGTGTTTTAAAAAAATTGCTTGGCCAGTGTAGACAATTTTTTTTATGACTGAGAAATTATTGATATGTTCATAGTCTAACCCAATTACGAATGACAATCAAGCCCACTTGGCCCAGATTGCCTCAGATTGTGTAATAAAAATCTTTTGTTCAATGATTATTTTATTGTAGACTCATAGAGCTTATAGTTTTTGTGGTACTATAGAATATATGGCACCTGAAGTTGTCAAAGGTGGAGCTACAGGACACACTTTTGTAAGTTGAATAGAATAGTCTGTACAGCAAGATTAACATCTTAAATTAATTAGAGCATTTCAGCCAGTTTCATAGCAACCCAGTCTCCCCCCAGTAGGATTATTGTAGAAAACATTGCATAGCTGTCCAGAATAGTTTTACCCTGGTGGACCATAAGAGAAATGATCTCCTTCTATGTAACAGGCAGAAATCTGAATGTCACCTTTCTACTACCAGACCATGTCATCAATCCCATATACCTGATATAAGAAAGCAAGATAGGCTGCAATGTTTGAATCCAAATAGTCCGACAATAACAACATGATGCCGTATAGCAGTCATATAGTAACCTTGTTTAATTCTTCAGGTGAATCCTTTTCTAATCTTGATAGTAATTTTTATACGCCCACATTGAAATGTAGTTGTATATTGTCATCGCCCCCGTCCGTCCGGCGTTCCTACATTCACAGTTGTGGAAGCTCTAGAGGCTAAAGTCAGTATCTTGATTTACTTTAAATTTATAATCAGTGTTTAAGGTCATGAGACAAAGAATCCTATTGATTTTCAATAATTATTGCCAGAGTTATGGCACTTTGCAAAATCTTGTGGACCCTCTAAAGGCTAAAGTTAATATCCGATTGACTTTAAATTTATACACAGTGTTTAAAAGGTCATCAGACAAAGAAGCCTTGTTGATGCTTTAGAGACCATAGTTATCATCTGATTGATTTTATATTTATACACTGTTTACGCCTACATATTTTCGTTTTGATTGACTTTAGATTGATACGCAGAGTTTAAGGTCTTGAGATTTTCAATGCTTTTTGGTAACTTGAACAGCTAAATCCATGATATTAAATGTTTTGCATACTAAACATTAGCATGGACCAAACAAATTCTAATGATTTTCTGATAATTACTGAATGAGTTGTTACTCTTAATCAGGTTTTAGAGTATTATAAATGTTTCATTACCGAGAAAAGTAAAAATATGCGGCAACACTTGTTGCCTGCCCGGACGATTTAGCTGCTGCGGGCGTATGTTTCGTTGCCTGTCAACCTATCTTTCTTTTTATAAACTGTACAATTATTGATTTGTTTCATTGCATCATATAGGCTGTTGATTGGTGGTCACTTGGAGTTTTAACATATGAATTATTAACTGGTGCGTCTCCCTTTACTGTAGATGGCGAGAAAAATACACAGTCCGAAATCTCCAGGTTATTTTAGTACTTCTTATTTCCTGTTATTCACATGTCCATTTTAGCTTGGAAATGTCAAAATCACTTAAGATTTATCAATATATAACATCCATTACTAAACTCCTACATTGATGGTTAGACTTACTTTTTGGAGTCTGGCTATGAATTACATTTGATGTTTGTAAAAAGAGACTTGGTCATGGTAGTTGGGGTGTGGGGGGGGTATGGAACCAGACTGATGACTAAATCGTCCTGGGAAGAATCTTCAAGAATTTTCAAATCCAATTCTTACTTGAAGTATAGGTAAAAAAAAACAATATCCAGGCAAAATTCTCCATATATGTCTGTGTAATTAAAATTAACTGCATCTTAGTCTCCAAATGTCTAAAGTGTGTCTTCACAAGATATTAAACACCATTCCATTCCTCTGTTTCTGATAAAGAGAGTTATAAATTAGGAGTTATGAAACCTCTCAAATACTGTAGCCTGCCCAATGAAAATGTTATAGTACCTCTTGACCAGTTTACTGACCAGTTCTAAATTCCAACATGCTAGCTAAAATTTCAATATCAGTTAGAAATCATACAAAGTATTCCCTAACTCATCTTGTTTCTAAAAGCTTGTTTATATTTCTTAATCTAGGAGAATTCTAAAATGTGATCCACCTATGCCAAAAACATTTTCATCACAAGTTAAAGATTTTATACAGAGGTTGTTGATCAAAGACCCTAGTAAAAGATTGGGAGCAACCGGAGCAGCAGCTGTCAAAAATCATAAATTTTTTAAGGTAAGAAGTTTATGTAAAAGGAATATATATTAACAGTTCATCATGATCAGGAAATGTTGTCAAACTTGTATCTGGGCACATGTGATCACACCTTTATATTCTGGGTTTCGGTTGTATATACGAGCTAGTATTATTGCTACATTGCAAAATGAAGACATTGGAACTGCTCTTACAATGTTAGATCATACCAGATCAGTTTTAGTTCTTAATGTTATGTTAAGATTTCAAATTTTAGAGATTCTGAGATAAGAGCAACCAAGTATTTTTTGTTAGAATTATATATTTTTCCAAGCAACTAACATGCAAATTGTTGTGGCCGCCTTACTGTATTGGACTCTCATTTTTCCTGAAACAATACTGTATTACTCCCAAAATAAAGTGACGGGACACAATGAAAGCTCACCATCAAAGTGCTGGCTAGACATGCAGCTGAAATGCGATTTTTGGCATGATTGTAGGCTGGATATTTACTGACAACACACAAAATCAGGAACAAACTGCAGAGGCCATAACCACTATACTTCACAGTGAAACGTAGGCAGAAGGAATAAAAATCAAATGTCAGTTAGACTGTTAGTCACGCATACCTACAGGGTATAGTCGTTGATAAAGAGTGTCAGAACTGATTAACTCTTTAGAACCCTCACAGTAGCAGCGGTAAGGGAATCTGGTAGCGTGGTATCCTGCAGATGTTGCCGGATAATGTGCATTGTCATATCTTTCCAGTCAGGCTATTTCTGATCTTAGTGGTCCCTGTTTGTTAGAAAAGATCACAGGATAGCATCCAAACATCGGGCGATGGCCCTGATTCACATGCCTTCTTTAAAGGTACTTTCCCACATAAGAATTTATCGTGTGGTTATTTCCATTAAAAGAATGGCAATTTTGGTAAATATGGAAAACAGAAACATCCAATCTTACTAGAAAAATATTGGATTCCCTGAAAAACACTGCGTTAGTGAGCACTTGATGTTCATAAAGTTGATGGTGAGCTTAAACATACAACAGTTTCTGAGATAAAAAAACACGGAAAAAGACGTGGACAGTGGATAATCCGAGAACTAGTTAGACTTCGATAGTTATGATATATGGACAGCAATTAAAGACAACATCATCTTGTATGTGCAATGAATTCTCCTCCGGCTTCACACCGGTTGCTATGTACCGCATCAGCCAAGTCGTGTGACACAAACATGGCTCCTGTTAATAGATTTTTTAAAGTAGGGGTATTCCCTCCTGAATACAATGTTTTGTGAAGGATTTGGAGCAAATTTTTGATAGATTAATTAGTTTGAATATGTTTTTACTCCAAATATATCATCAAATCACCCAGTTTGTACCTGGGAAAGGTATCTTTAATTAACATTGTGTATCACTATCAGTCTGTTTTTAAAAAATCCAAAGTAACATGATTATTTAGAAAATAGACAAATACACGTACTTTCAAATATTGGTTTGTGTTTCTTGTAGAATTTAGAATGGGATGATCTTGCAAATAAAAAAATTGAAGCACCTTTTGCTCCTCAAATACGCCATGAATTAGATGTGGGCAATTTTTCTGAAGAATTCACGAATATGGCTGCCACAGATTCTCCAGCCATTGTACCAACAAATGTAGAAAAATTATTCAAGGTAACAAATGTTCCCTTTTATCTTAGAAACTAGAATATTTCTACAACATGGGATTTCAAGTGGTTAATATATTTTTATTTGATTGATGTACAGTCGCTTGAATGGTACAAAAAACTGAGGTCCCAGGTACATATTGGCATGCATGTAAAAGAGAGTTGTTTGGGCATAATTTCCCTCATATGACACTATATTTCTTATGCCGGTCTTCGTATGTCCGACATCCACCCACATTTGCTACATTTTTCCTCCAAATTTAATAAAACTGGTATGTGACTGTGTATCCTAGAGATTTTGAACGAATTGAAAATGAATCAAGATTCACCACTGTTTCTAGAGTTATTGCATATGAAATACTAAAAATTCATCAAAAATTGTTTGTAAACACATTGGAATCTATATTTCTTATCATATTCAAATATTGCTGTAAATTAAAACACTTGCAAGTGTTCTTTTAACAATCATTCAGTGCTTGTTTCGTAACTATGTGATCTGTTTTTTATCTCATATCACCGGGTTATTCCTGTATATAAATATATTTCTGTATATACTCATGTATATATATATCTACATCTTATTTTTTAATATTACAGGGTTATTCCTATATAGCTCCATCTATTTTATTTAGTGAAAATACTATAAGCTGTGATATGTTAAAGCCTTCTACTGTTAATCAACCAGATGAGGCCAGTTTTCTTAATTCTGCACATTTTAAGGTAAATTTAAAGTAGAGATCTTTGCTGGACTTTAAAATGATAATTTTTTATTTTTCGTGTTTTAATCATACAGTTATTTAAGAGGTGTTCAAATTAGATTTCATGCAAAAATAGAGAATGATCATCGCTGAGATATAGGGGTTTAAAGATTGTGTTAAAAATATAATTTGGGACTTTAAATTTTCAGTCTTGCTTAGGTCCAAAAAAACTTTATGTAATGATTTGTTTTGATGGATAACAATATATTGTCTTTGTTGAAAACGATACATCTATAGATAAAATAGATATAAAGATACCATCAATTTTATGTTCCGTTGTCAACACAGTAGACATAAATATGATACCCAAAGTAGTAAACAAGCAGTCTTCCTCTTAACATTTCAACACTTGACGCATCATTGATTAGAAGAACACATCAGATCAACTCAATTCAGTATCTTCTTTCATACCTAAATCAAGATGACTTAATATTCTGTGAATACTGATGTTGTCAAATCTTGAGAAAACCTTGTCCTGAAAATTAAAATCAATGTTTTATTTCAGAATTCACCATTTTTTAAACAGTATGATTTAGATCTGAAAGGTTCGGCATTAGGTGATGGTAGTTTCTCTATTTGCAGGTAATGAATTCTATGGTTTAAGGCATCACATATCTTTTTTTTTCTCAAAAGTTTATCTCTGTACTCTAAAACTGAATTATTACTAAATTGATTATTTTCAAGATCTGGAATTTTAAACACATCAAAAGCCTGAATTCCTGTGTTGAGAACCAAAGGTCTTGGTTGAAATAATCTCAAATTCCCAACTAAAATATATCTCACAAGGTTGAGATTTATGAACAGAGAATCTCAAGACAATTTTGGGAGATGACACCTCCTATAGTGTCAAGAATTTTAGATCTCAGTTTCTGTGTATCTTGAGAAGATTATGCTGGGTAAAGCAATGGGATTAAATCCGAACATATTTGTATTTACAGAAAATGTTGTAATATTAAAACTCATAAAACGTATGCTGTAAAAATAGTGAGCAGACGTTCAGATTGTCAAACAGAAATACAGTTGTTGAGGTTATGTCAAGGTCATCCAAATATAGTTACAATGGTTGATATATTTTATGATGAGGTTAGTAAAAACTGCCTGGGTACAAAGGAAGGGGTGAATGCCAGAATGTCAATTGCCTTCTCAGACTATACAATTGACAGTTATTGCAATTCAATAATTACAACATCTGAAGACTAGTCATAAAATAGAAATTGTTTATATTTGAATGGTTAAAAAACTGCGCTGCAATCATGAATTTATATCTACATGATAGATTGAATATTTTTTGTTCTATTAATTCTTCTCATTATAATAAAAACAGGTTCACACATATATAGTGACAGAATTATTAGCTGGTGGAGAATTATTAGATAGAATTAAGAAGAAGAAGAGTTTTACTGAAAATGAAGCCAGTGAAATTATGTGTAAATTAGTAAAAGCTGTTCAATACATGCATTCTAAAGGTGTTGTACATCGAGATCTTAAACCAGAAGTAAGTAGGCAGGAAGTTTTTGTATGGACATTTATGGTCATAGTAACTCTATTACTGTATTCAAAGACATGTAAGGCTTATTTTCATCTGCACTTGTCATTTGTCCATCAACATGATAAATATACTAAAATAATATAATAGCCTATAGATGCCAGTCTTATACATAAGACAAAGAAGTCTACTAATTTTCAATGATTTAGGATATTTTTTCTTTTTCCATTTTGAAATTCTTGATGATTCTCTAGACTTCAAGAAGCTGGTTATTATCCAATTTTCACAAAGTATGTGATGGATAATGGCCGAAGACTGTTTATTATGTTTATTAGCCCTGAAGTTTTTCTTTATATTTACATTATCAAACTTAAAACATAGCACCATAGAGATACAAATGATGGATAGTTTTCTCAAAGAACAAGCAACAAAAATAATGGATAGATCCTTAAAACAATATGCACCTGCACATGAATGCATGTGACAAAACAATCCAGTCATACAATGCAAGCATATACAGGCAGTCCAAAATATTCATTTAACAAAATGAAATGGGGTTTAACGTCCTACTGTTCTACTCCTAAACTGGGCTAATGAAGACGGGCATATGCCATACAGTGTGCCATGAGAGAACAAGCATTAATGACGAGAATATTTGTGATAAGCAATTGGATACTGATTACATTTAGTGATGTACTCAATATGGAAGATAATGGCCGTAATAATTGTGATGTTCTTGATATGGGAGGTAATAGCTGTCAAAGTTGTGATGGAAAGGATGTTCATGAATATAATTTAGATATTGATAATATTCTTAGTACTGTGGTTAATATGAAGGATACTAGCCGTCCAAATTTTGATTTGAAATTTAATATTATATACTCTGATACAAGTGTCAATGGTACATACCAATTTACGAAATTCAAACTCAACCGTCATTATGGTGTAATGTTGATGTATTTGAAGGTTTTTTAAAATCTGATAAAAATTGTGACCTGTATAGGATCCATGAGCTAAATCTATAATCCAGGAAGTTACCGTTCGATATACACCAATATCGCAAAGAATCGAGATCTTTGGGTTATAAACATTCAGTTTCATCAAAATGGGATAAAAATTGTGAACTCTAGAATGTACAATCAGAGGGCATAATCCATGAAGTTATGGTCCCATACAAACCAATATCAAAAGGAACCTCTCACTTGGAAATATAAACCTATATTTTAGGTTATGACCTGTAGACATGGGCGTCACACATGGGGGGATCCGGGGGGGGTCCGACTCCCCCAATTGTTTTTCTGGGGGGGTCTGAATATACTTGGACCCCCCCCCCCCCAAAAAAAAAATTTACATAGTAGGCCCAAACTCCTATTTATTTACAACAATTATTATGATTAGTTAAGATTCGATCTGTATAAAACCTGTACATATTCCAATATGGTTAATACTGCTAAAATAAAACACAGAGATAATCATCCTGGAAACACGTGTGAAGTGAAAAGTACCTGTGTTCCATAAAATTGTGTCTAGTTAGCCTGTCAGTAATATTTTGTTAATTTTTTTCTGCCACTTATCAGAGTGAATCGCATGTAGGTACCCAAAAACTTAACCGCCTAAACCAAATATTTATCGCCCGCTCAGCCAGCAAGGTAACCATAATGCTTTTGCACGTGGTGTCTTGGTAGACAGCATGGCCACATGGTGTTTGTTTATATTTTTAGGGGTTTTAAAAAATGGGTTAGGGTTAGGGGTTAGGGTTGCGGACCCCCCCAATATATATTTCACGGCTACGCCTCTGCCTGTAGAGTGTCCAAACGGACGTGTCAATGGATGTCCAGATGGACAGAGGCGACGTCAATCAAGTGCCGATCATTGACATACAACAGGCGGATTTAAGTGGAATTTTTCATATGGGAAAGAACCCAAAATTCGCGGACATATGGAAACAATAAATTCTACAACTGGACAAACACGTGAAATCAACATTCTTTCATGTAACATTTCAATAACTATGAAGATTTAAAGTAATTTCATGGATGTCCAGATGGACAGAGGTGACATCAATCAAGTGCCGATCATTGACATACAACAGGCGGATTTAAGTGGAATTTTTCATGTAGGAAAGAACCCAAAATTCGCGGACATATGGAAACAATAAATTCTACAACTGGACAAACACGTGAAATCAACATTCTTTCATGTAACATTTCGATAACTATGAAGATTTAAAGTAATTTCATGTACTGTAATTTAATTTGTTCACAGAATAAATTATCCCAAAATATATTTTCATTTTTCAGATAAGTGTCTATTATTGGTTAAACTGTCCATTATTTTGAATAAATAATGGACATTTTCATAAATAATGGACGATTTTTTAAGAAAAGTGTACATTGTCCTATATACTGGTTAAAAACATCAAAGGGTGACGTCTTATCTATGTTTTAATCAACATTTTCTGCTAATTGCCATTAGAGTTATGGCCCTTTATCACTTTGAAAGATCTAGTGGCTAAAGTGATCATCAGATTGACTTTTAATTTATATACAGTGTTTATGTGGGGAGAGGGTGGATGAATGGTTAATGCGTGCTTGTTCGATCATAGGGTCTGTCATTGGGTCAAATGGCATGGTTTTGATTCCCCACTTGTACGTGACAAGGAGTAGGGTCGCCTGACCGACCTGGTGGGTTTTCACCGAGTTCTCAAGTTTCCTCCCACAGCTAAAGATCCCTTAAGCGAATTATTGAAATAAAATTGAACATGTGTCAGTCCCAAATTGACCTTGTTTGTGTCGAGTGGATGTTAAACTCCATGTCACTCTCTCTATGTCTATGAGATATAAATCCTATTTATTTTGAACAATTTCCAATAACTCTTATTAACGAAACTTATCATCTGTGGTTGATGTCCATGCTAGGGAGAATTCTATCAAATTTGAGATATTTCTTTGTAAAAGCACCAGTTAGCTATAAAAATATAACAATGAGGCAACCTTTATTGACTGCTCAAACAAATTAGCTCATGGGAACGGTACATGTTTGTTTGCCTGTATCAATTGTAATAATCTAATTATATAATGATTTTATTTCAGAATCTATTGTTTGAAGATGATACAGATAGTGCTGAAATAAAGATAATAGATTTTGGTTTTGCACGATTAAATCCTGAAAATCAAACATTAAACACTCCATGTTTTACTTTACCATATGCAGCACCTGAAGTTTTACGTCAGACCACTAATAAAGATCATGGTTATGATGAATCGTGTGATTTATGGAGCCTGGGAGTTATACTGGTAATTGGTGAAATAATTGAATATTTGATGTTACGATTTGATTTATATTTAAACTAATATGATGTCTCCAAATTTTGGAAGTTTAAGTCAATTAATATTGAAGAACTATATTGTTTCATTATTTTACTTAATGCAAAAATTAGATACAATTATGATGTGCCCACATCAAATTGTGGTTGTTTATTGCTGTGGTCCCCAATTTTTTTTTCAGCACTATATTTTTAATCCAGTCTTAAATTTATATATTCTTCTTAGGTTTTAAATTTTTTAAATTAACTTTAAATATTTACAATTTACTTAAATAACTTTAAATATATTTCAAACTTACTTTAAAGATATAAATGTAATAAGTGATTAAATAACTATGATCTATACCTAAGTTTTACTTTTTGATTTTGTAACACTCAAGTTCAGTCTATAATATATTAGTAGAAATAAACACAAATATGATATTTATTTTTAGTACACCATGCTATCAGGGAAAGCTCCATTTCGAGCTCGTAGTAAAGAAGATACTGCTTCAGATATTATGGACAGAATTAAGGGAGGTGATTTTAATTTAACAGATTCTGATTGGCATACAGTATCAGACCAAGCCAAAAAACTTATAAAAGGTATTGAGTATTTAAGTTAATTTTAACATTTTACATTTTCGACTTTTTTTTCCTAAGCCATGTAATAGATTTCAACTAGACAGGACTTTTCCTGATGTATATATAAATTTATAAATCATTAAATATATATGAATGTTCTTATATATTCTACATGTATTCGTATATATTCTAGTCATGTTAATTGTATGCTGCACCCCGTGCGATTTTTTATGCAATAAACTTACTAAGTTTGGTAGAGATGTTTCTTGGGTGCAGTTTATTCCGATTGAAGTTGATCATCCCCATAGAGGTTGAATAAAAGCACCTTAAAATGACAGATTTAGGAAAAACATTTTTTAAGTCTGCCCCAAATTTGGGTGCTGCTTATTCAAATTTGTTTAATAAAGTTGATCAGCCCCATAGACATGAACCAGGGATGACTCAAAACATTTTTGACTTCTTCTCATAAATCTCTTTATGGATTGCAATCAAATTTGGTAGTTACGGTGCTTGGTGGGTGCTGCTTATTCTGAGTTGTTGAAATGCAGTTGATCTGCCTCATAGGGACAAATTAGAATGGGAAGAAAGCTTTATACATAAGTTATCTACTGCTAGAGAGAGATTTATATTATGAAAAGCAGAATATTGACCCCCAACTAACGGAAGTGAAATGTCCTGAATTGGTGACTACTCATTAACTTTGGGGTTGTCTTGACCAGTTGTTTTAAAATTTTGGAATGTTTGGAGTTTTATTATCGGTAATAACACTTTAGATGAATGAATGACACTATAAATTCTGAATGTTGATCCTTTTTTCTTTCCATTTCAGGGCTGCTGACAGTAGAACCAAGAAAACGATTGACAATGAATGACTTACTAAAAAATGAATGGCTGTTTGGAAAACATGATTTATTATCTCATGCTTCTTTACCCACACCTGGCATTCTATCATCTCACACTAATACTATACATGTTCAACTCAGTGCCACCATGGATGCATTTCATAAAGCAACACGAGAAGGTTTCAGGCTTCAAGATGTAGCCACAGCCCCCCTAGCCAAACGAAGACGTATCAAAAAGAGTTCTACTGATGCAAGAAGTAGTTCCACCGATTCTAATAATTCTAGCTCAACTATTAGCTCATCAGGTGTTACTCAGTCTCCTGTACGTCAGTCTCCTTCCAGAACTTTTTCTAGTGCCTCCAGTATATCAAACGCTAGCACAGGCTTTATACCTCATAAATCTCTATTAACGACAACAGAGCCTTCCGGAAACGGCACGACCGTTGACTTAATTGACACCATCCATGTAACTACGGTAGATAGTGAAATAGACTCTTCTCAAGGTATCAGAAAGGGTGTGAAGCGTACCTTGGATATGATGAATAGTGAAAATGATATCCTCATTGATGGGGATGATATGGAGGAGGATGAAATGGAGGAGGAGGATGATGATGATGATGATGATGATGATTGTGTTATAATAGGAGAGGATAGTTTTGATCTAAGTGATATTAATAGAAATAAAAATCCTTCTGTAATAAGCTCAAACAAAACTATATCTAGTGAAACAATTATTATTGATGATTGATATATTGTAATTTATTATTGCTATGGTTTATCTTATTGTGCATCTTTGAGGAGTATGATCAGTGTACTCAGCATCTTGTAATTTTCTTGGTAAAAGTTCACCCCATTTTCAATGTTTTTTTGGGATTTCTAACCAGAGCCAGAGTCACATTGGGCGGGAAAACTTTCATGATAAATAAACTTGTAATTGATTATTCATCCAGAAAATTTTGGGTATATATTGGTAGTCCGCCGTAATGCCTTAGATGCAACAATGCACACAGCCAATGCAATGAAAGTAATGAGGCCTCACATCGTTTGACAATATATGAAGGTTATTTGAAGGCTAACATAATAATTGTATTGTAATTACCATAGTTATGTGTGCAAAGCAGAGGATTTTGACAAGGAAGTAATGAAATGGGGGTACCGTTTATTTACATGAAGATGATTTTTTGTGTTGATTTGGGCAATATACACCGATGTAGAATTGCACAAAGTAAGCTTTTGTTGATGGTTTGTTAGAATTTTATTGTAAATAAATAAGAACATTTTATTGTATGTATTGTTTATTGTTGATAAATGTGAATATATGATTACTAATATAAATATCTATATTAATTAATATTTATGAAATTCTTAATAGAAATAGTATGAACTTTGTTGACACTTTTTTTTCTGTGATTTTACATAAAATATAAAAAAAATCATATATTGAAAGAATTAACTTTTTATACATATATTTTCTTGATATTTCTTTTCAAACGCATGTCATAATTTTACATGAAATTTTAAGACAATTTTTGTTATATTCAATGTACGAAATCTAGAGCTTCTATACATAAAATTAAGTAACCACTTGTTCATTTCTTGTCATCAAAAATATAATATGTGAAAGCTTTATCAAAGTGAGTCTTAATTAGGCACATCATAGAGTGAAATTTATTGTTTCTTGAATAACAGAATAGTAAAAAAAAACAGTACAGTTTGTTACTAATTATTAATTATGTGTATATTATATTTTTTAATGATAATAAGATAATTTTTGCCATATAATGACAAGTATGTGTACAAGACTGGATGTTGTGTGTTATTGTTTAGATATATGTGATAAGCTGTGTTGCACTGTCAATGCAGGAGAGATATGAGTTGAGGAAGATTTACTTACTATTGTGTGTGACATTTCTTGTTATGAACTAGTCTACTGTATGTGAAATATATTTTTGAAATGATGCTCGTAAAACAAAGCTCTAAATTATCTTTTCATTAAACCTAAAGGCTCAATGTGGTTAATTGTTTTCTTCGTGATGAAATATTTTATTATTGTTAAAGAATAATATAAGACAGGTGTAAAGCATGGTTACCAACAGTGTTCTTGTGAAGCTCGTGTGTATAATATATATGGTTCTGGTAATGGTTATTTCTGTAGGAAACTAAGAAAGACAATTTTGGTATTGATACTATTAGAATCTTGTTACATAAAATCAAATGTTGCATAATGTTTTAATTTGTCACATATTTCTATGAAGGCAATCTGATTAAAATACAGATCTAAATTTTGTTTCGTTTTTTTATACTTTCAATGGTCTCCGCTACATAAAGGTCTGACCAGTTGTAAATGAAATGAAATGGGGTTTAACGTTCTACTGTTTTGCTCTGAACCTGACCAGTTGTAGTGGGAGGTCTCGTCAGGGGTCCTACAAACGACTTTTGACGTTATGATGTCACACATTTGATTAATCAATGTTTCTTGTAGGATACCAACAGTTCCGTGCACCACACGCCAAGAACTCGCTATAACACACCGTTTCATTGGCTAATCCCTACATCAACCAGCACGCAGGTTATATAACAGCTTTTCCAGATCCTAGTGTAGTAAGACAAGTAAAACGAAATTCTGAACTATAAAAAGCGAAACAAAATAGGATATATGTTTTAATCAGATTGCTATAAGGGAAGTCAGATATAAGGTCAATATCCTGGTATTTATGGGCTATTGATGTATATAATAAGGACGCAGGCTATTGAGCCAAATAATGTGCATTAAAATAGGACATAATTGTTTTATTAAATACAAAATTTAGATTATATATACATGACAATAGATTATATTCTAATCTAATTAAGATTACATCTTGATTTCGTTTCGTCTTTACAGTTTTAATTTTACAAGTAAAATTCTTCACCAGTACCACTAGACACAGATTTTTATGTACACTCTAAAGTCAGAATTCTTATAAGATTTATAATGCTTCATTTTCATGAAGAAGAACCCATCCAAATTCAGAAATTCCATTTGCAAATTTTTCAAAGATTTTGCTCTATATTCACCAAATGATTCACAATGTGACACCCTTTATGGACTGCTTAGCTGCTGTGGGCATGTTTCGTTTGAATTTGTTTAAAAGTTGATGGGATTGTTCTGTTGGGCCTATCACAAGTTCACGTTCAAATCTTGTGAATGCAATACGTAACATCAATGAATTAGTTTATTTAGTGCTTATGAAATAACACTGCTGAATTTTTGACAATTTGGATTGTCACCGTATTTTGCAGTGCAATCTTTCCATTGACATGTTTACTTTTGTGAAGTTGATACAGAACGAATTTCTCAATGGAATTTTGTTTAAACTTGGTGGGATTATTCACAGGGGTAAAGAGTGGAACCCTATTAAATTTACAAATATTTGTGTAGTAAGTTTAATATCGGGTTTGTGGATTTATGTTCTCATTCATAGCTTGTGAACATAATACAGGACAGAGGTCTCTGTGGAAGCTATTAAAACTTAGTTGGATTTTTTCAAACTGGCTCAGTGAGATTTGTTGACATTCATTTTAGAACTAGACTGCCTGACTTTGCAGCTACTAGGAGGGGTCCCCGACAAGCCCCTGTCTTTTGTTTTTGTAAGCTTTACTGGACAAAATCATAGGTTTTGCTTAATTACGGCACCTTTACTTAATTTGAAAGGGAGCAAGTTAGCTAAATTTAGTTACCCATAATATAAATTGGTTTTGTCTAAATTATGGTTAAAAAAAATTCCCCACTGAATTAACTATACCAAAATCTAATTTTAAGAATATAGTTTTGTATATTATATCATTTAGCTATAAGCGACAGAAAAGTAACTTGTAAATCTTGTTTTAATAATATGCAGTAAATCGCATAATAATAATATAGTTATTTAATAATGTACTTATTATAAAAGGTAGTCAACTAGTCAAATAATTATTACAAAGAATTATGTTGAGAATATTTAAAATGAAAAAAAGAAAAGCATCTGATTTTGTGCAGGATAAATGTTTTAGGGCACCAGATGTTCAGAAATTCCAAAATTGGCATTACTAAATTTATATTCTAAATAAAATCATACTTTTTTTTTACTGTTGTTCTGTCAGAATTGTAGTTCATTGATCTAATGGTTTCTTTAAAATCAGTCTTAATAATCTGTCAGCTTCTTTACTAACTTTCACCAAGTTTCCATAATCACTCAATTTTTTTTTTTATTTTGACTACCACCATTTCCTCACTCCACTTGGGATTACTTTTACTTTGAATGGATGCTCAAGACTTAAAGATACATTATGGAAGATTAGATAAAAGCTGGCAGTTCTCAGTAGTTAAAAACTAGATAATGTAAAGGGAATATGTTGAAAATTTCAGTCAAATTGCTCCCTTCTGAACCGGGATATTAGCGATTAAATTTTAGGCCTAGCCTCGATCATCATTACTCAAGTCAGTACGATAAAAAACATAGTCTCGATTATCCAATTTTTGGATTTAATTATCAATGAGCATTGAGCAGCAGATCAGATTCAAATCCAGTGAAAATCCGACACATATGGTGGCATCGCGAGTTGATTAAGGTCTTTTCATGCTAATAAATGTCTAATTAATGGTTTATATAACATTTCAGGCCTAAAGAGAGAGAGAGAGAAATGGGGTTTAACGTCCACTCGACACAAACTAGGTCATTTCGGGACTAACGTATGGTTTAATTTTTATTTCAATAATTCGCTTGCGCATAGGGGTCTTTAGCAGTGGGAGGAAACCGGAGGACCCGGAGAAAACCCACGAGGTTGGACAGGCGACCCTACTCCTTGTCACGTACAACCGGGGTCAGGCCTAAAGAAAGACCAGCAATAGGCAAATGTAGCTCTTGCATAATGTATGTTTAATATTGCTGTGGTTGACATTGGTCAATAGACTTAAGTTCGACCAATCCAATAGTATTTAACTAACACGCTGAGATCAACAACTGATAATTAATCACAGCTGGGTTATTGCTGCACAAAAAAATGCTGTGTTGTAGTTATTATTATATTACATTTATTCGGGATTATGTGGTAAGCTATTTAACATGCACTTAAAATATTAAGACCATTTCATTGGCTGAAGGTAGACTACTGTACATTCGGACTACAGAGTTAGCAAGAATGGTCATCGGTGTCCGAGAATGATCAGAAAGATTGTTAAGCTTTTATTGTAAATTCTTTTATTATAATGTTATCTAGTTCTGTTATAGATGCTTGTTATGACAATGCAGTGGGTATTGTGTAGATATATGATGACTGATCAATGCCCTTTTTTCAAAGTTTACCTAAACCTTGCCAGTATGCGGTTTGTAAATATCAAAATAATAAATAATACTACAAATGGAAAACTTACTTGTGTTTTTATTTACAAATTTGTATGTTAGGAAGAATTATACATACATTACAAATGAAAATATTAATGTAGGTACCATTATGACTGACATGTTTATCTGTGAGATGAATGCCATACTATGCACATTGATAGCACACACTGCTCTTCAAATGGCCAAATTGTAGTTGACACTTGTAATATTGTGAATTGGATTATTATGCAATTCCTGTCTATAATTTTAATTTTACCTTGTCATTAGAAATATATGTTTTGATAAACACAAAAAAGCTTTGTCAAGCTTTGGCCTAATTATGCTCAAGGGATCTGGAACATAACATCTCAAAATTTTTATTCCATAAGGCTGCTAATTTGATTTTCTGTTCTTCGGGAACACCTCTGAACATTTTCCTTCTTATGTCTTCTGGAAAAAGGCTAATTTAAAAACAAAAAGTACATGGTTGTGCTGTTTAAAAACTTTCACATTTTGGAGTTTTAAAATTTTAAACAAAACATCTTTCACATGAATCATACAGCTATTTATATATCAGACCCCTGAGGAAGAGAAAATCAAATTGATGTGGCCTAATTGAATTATGCTTATGATGTGGTGCACTCCTACTTGAGTTGGTAATTTTATCAGATGTCTAAGTGAAGGCAATACCGGTATATGTTGCAGTAAAATTCAGTCTAGTCTAGTTTAACTATAATAGGTTTGTGACCAGTATGCTCTATAAACTTCTTCAGATCTTCAGATGTAATTCCTGTTGTGGCACTATTAACCATGGGATGGAAATGTATTTTGGGATAAACATTTTCAGTAAACCTAGAATCCAGTATTAATGTCACATCTTTATTTGTGTCATTTATTAGTCCAAACAAGGTAACAGCACCTTGCCTAAGGCCCAGTTTCTCCAACAAAACAGATTCATCAGCAAACCTGAGGCTACCAGATGCCTTTACCATTTTACACAAATCATTTAATTTTACATCAGCATTATGAGGCGCACACAATAACCATAGTTTTTTCTTCTTGTCTTTCATAAATAAGTTTTTAGCAAACATTCCATCTAAATGGGCCACATGTGGTATAGCTTCTTCTACAGTGAAAACCTGTAAAACAGCAATACAAACTAAGAGTTGTTCATTATTTAGCAGGGGGTTTACTTAATACAGTACAGTGCAGTCAGTCAAACGAAAATCATGTCACATTATCAGTCAATGGGCAGGAGTGCAATTACCATGGGAGTTATCCCACTTGCCTGGCGCAAGCATTTATAAAGTCCGAACCAACATAAAAATATACATGTATCCAAAACTCGGCCGCACGATTCATTTCTCGAACATAATGCTGATAACACATCACCTCTGTCTTGTACTCTCTACACTGGCTACCAAAAGCATACAGAATAGAATACAAAATATTGTTACTTGTGTTTAAATTCCTGAAAAAATTGGCCCCGCCCTATCTTTCTAAGGTTCTTGAATACTATAAACCCACAAGAAATCTGCAATCCTCGACTGACACACGAATTGATCATCATATGGTAACCCGTCATTCTACATAAGCACAAGCACCATATTCAAATTCGTAATGTCACTGCTATTACTACTTTTAAAACTAAACTAAAAACATATTTATCTAACAAGCAGTTGTCATAAAAATTGTGACCACAAGATAAAAACACAATTTTTCGTACAATTAGGGGCACAAATCCATTAGGTTACAGTCTGATATGCGCGAATATCGAAAGGAACCAAGATCTTTTGGATATAAACATATATTTTATGTTTCATCAAAATCCGCGGATAAAAATTGTGACCTGGGTCCACAATCTTGGTATTACATACTTTTTACACTATGTGCTTCGGTAGCAAACCTGCTCATGTAAAGTGCGCATGAGAACATTTATGTGGCAGGGCAGTTGTGTGCTATAGAAATGTGTAATAATGATAATAATCCCAACTTTTAATGTTCATCCATGGCATATATGTGGCCATACCTGAGAGGGTTTTGATGACAGTATCCCACACAAGTATGGATATAATTGGGGTATCTGTCTATCTGACTCAAAAGTATGAAATATGTTAGCTGTGAGAAGTGGCATCAGATATTTCATTCAATATAAATGAATGGGAGATTGGAGAACAGGCAAAATGCCTATCTCAGACCCCTATCCCTATTTACAATACAAACTATATGCTAATAGTGAAAAGCATTAATGTTGGGAATATTTTACTACAGTGGAATATTTCCTGATGTTGCTTTGATATTTTACACAATGCAGTGGTACAAAATGATAACATGGAACAATTAAACCTGATCCCCAATGCTATAATTAAGGGTTTGACACCCTACTTTTATGCCCCAACCGGGCTAATGATAATAGGTTGCCGGGCAACAAAACATACGCCCATAGCAGCTAAATCATCTGAGCGGTCGTCAAGGGTTGTCGCATATTTATTCCTTTGTAGGTAATTGGGGGCCTTTACAAGACAGTTCCATACAGATCAGATTATAAATTTTGTCGTTTGATGGTTTACAAGGTTCTACAAACTGATACAAGGGTCTCAACTCTGGAAAGAATCTACAGAAATTGTTGAAATTTGACAGGCTTTTTCGTTTTAATAATTTAAATAATGCATATAAATTTCATACAGATCACGTGATCACTTTTGTCATTCAAACATTCACAATCGCCATAACTCTAGAAATTATTGAATGAAATTGCTGAAATTCAATAGACCTGTTTCACAAATTTAAATGACGCATATAAATTTTATACATATCGGATGATAACTATCATCAATCGAGCATTAACAAGGTTTAACAAAGTGAAACAAGGCCCATAACTCTAGAAGTGATTATTGTAAATTGCTGAAATTCAATAGACTTTTTCGTTTCACTAATTTAAATCATCATATAAATTTCACAAAGATCGGGTGATAACTTTTTGCGTTAGAGCGTTCACAAGGATCAATAAAGTGAAACAAAGGCCATAACTCTAGACGTAATAAACGGAAATTGCTGAAATTCAATAGGCTTCTCCGTTTCACTAATCTAAATAATGCATATAAATTTCACAAAGTTCGAATGATAACTTTTGGAGCGTTCACAAGGTTCAATAAAGTGAAACAAGGGCCATAACTCTAGAGGTAATAAACGGAAATTGCTGAAATTCAATAGGCTTCTTCGTTTCACTAATTTAAATAATGCATGTAAATTTCAGAAAGATCGGATGATAACTAAAGTGAAACAAGGGCCATAACTCTAGAAGTAATAAACAGAAATTGTTGAAATTCAATAGGGTTCTTCGTTTCACTAACTTAAATATTGCATATAAATTTCACAAAGCCCTCACCCCACCCCCCCTCGAAAATTTTGAAAATTGACTCCCTTAGACTTGATTTCTGAGCACTTAAAAAAAGTTTCAGAGATTTGATACACTAGGCCTATTGTATTAGTTAACAGTTTTGGCATCTTAAATTGTTAAACCATGGATTGATTAAGACCCTGTAAAATCAAGATCAAAATATACCCATAAAACAATCAGAAAGACGATTTTGTAAACCTACGCACCATGATATAGTATTGGCACATGGGAAAAACCTTGTCAGCGATTTTCAAAATGTATGTATGTTGCCGCCCAGTCTTCAACTTTTGGGCTCAGTAGGCGGCACAGTTTGGCCAGTGTGCGTAGGCGGCGGCGCCTTGTCACCATGTTAAACGAGGCTCTGCATTAAGTGCATTATTGCCACCAAATGCAGGGCCATGGGCCATGGCAACCTTAACAAATTTATTACTTAGTTCTATATAATTCTCCCAAATATTAAATAAAAGTGATACGCTACAGACAATTATCTAAATATAGAAGTATGCCACATTCCCAATCTATTACGAACCGCTGGGTGATCAATTGTATCGGCGTTAATATCAAGGTCTATTAATTTGCTTAATAAACCTTCTTTTCCAATCTGCTGTCCAGACATTTTTGCAAGCTGTTACTGTTACTTTAAAATCAGTCGTTCAACCGGTAAAAAAAAATCTCCAACGAATGAAACCGAATGCATTATCACCTGACACAAAATTGGTCTCGAATATGTAGCCGTTTGAGCCTTGACTTAAAGTAGTGTATAGTTTAGGTCTGGTTGAAAAGAGCTACTACCGGGAGGACAAGATGGCTTCCAAACACCGGCCAAATTTTGATTTCCACAGTATAGATTCTAATAGTGGACTGACAAAAGTAGAAAATGGTTTGCAAATACACAATTGTAGCTCATCTTCAAATGATGAAGCACCTTCAATACCGAAGCGAAGGTGAATATATATTTGAACTATGCTAATAGTATTAGTAATAAATACAACATAGACTATCGTTTGGTTAGTTCAGCTCTGAACGTAGGTCTCATTACACTCCGTCACTCGCCTGTACGTTCAGGAACCGTCCTCAGTATTGAATCCTTGTCGAAAAACTTTCGCTTCCCAGTCAATTTTACTGGGCAACTTTTTACTGCTAAACGGTCGTGTGTCAGCCTCTGTGAACCCCTGAACAATGTAATGGAACATTTCAGTGAGAAAATAAGACCTTGCTTACCTCGCTACAGTCAGTATGTGCAACTGCAATACAACATGCTGTTAAAAATACGTCCCCTTCTGCTAAATGGCATGGCAGACGCCATTTAAATCTAAATCTAAATATAGCAGTCATTGTTTTTTTAGGCTTTCGAGCGCTTGTCGCGCACCCAAATGTCGACCGAGGGGAGGTTTTTCTCCCTCGCCTTAAAATTGAAAATCGCTCTCCATATTTGTAAATCATGGCCATGTATTTGGGTTTTTTTTCAAAAGAGTGTGAAAGACTCACATTCCGAGTGCCACCATGCTGTCATTGTTAACATTTATTTGGTGTATTCGATTAGTATAATGTGATCGCACAAGGTAATAATAAAATTACGATGAATATGTTGCTAAAAATAGATGGCACCTATGCACCATTGGTTAATTTAACTGAAATGAAAAATAGAACTCTCACGAGACGTGAGAAATTACGAGAGATGGCACGTGAAAATTTCCAATGAGAATAATTCCGGAAGAAATAGATTATATTTTGATGGAATTTTCAAGTGTTTATGATTATATTTTGAATAGGGGTTATGTTTTTAAACAAAATTTATTATCATTTATATTATGTAACCAAGAATGACCCCTTACACGCAGTTATTGATCTTCAGAACCATTTCCCATACAAACAACTAATCACTCTCCTTAATATCAGATCATTCTCCTTAATTTCTAAATCACTCTTCTTATCGAAACTGGGAGAGCTTTTTTAGGGGAGCGATTTTTTCAATTTGTTCATAAAGGGGAGCTTTTTTTGGCTCTCCTCTACAATACAAAAAACAAAGACTGATATAGGGTAACGCACAAATTTACATATCTCGGCCATATAAGACGAAACAAAATTTAGGTAAGCAAGTGACCGAGTTACATAAATTTGTGTGTTACCCCTTATTTTGGTGAACTGAATGAATGGTATTTTAGTTTAGTTTTTTACATTTTTGTTGCATTTTGATTATTCTGATTGTACAGTGGTGTACCACTTTCAACTTTGTGGGGTGGGGCCGCTGTCCATGTTAAAATTTAAAACTGATCTAAATCAAAATTTAGGCAATATATAGGGTAGTTCCTTTCGGAATGGTCTCTGAACAGACAAATTCCTCTAACAATTCTTGTCCATTCAATGTCCAGTTAATGATAATTACCGCTGACGTTCTACCTGATATATGGGTCATCTGAACGTAAGTCTCATTACACTCGCCCTGTACGTTCAGGAACCGGCAAATTGACTCCTTGTCGAAAATTTTTGAGTTTCCCATAAATTTTACTGGGCAACCTTTTACTGCTAAACGGTCAGGTGTCAGTCACTATGAATGCCTGTACAATGTAAAGGAACATTTTATTGAGAAAATAAGGCCTTGCTTACCTCGCAGAAGCCATTGAAATCTAGATATAGGGTAACACTCATATTTACGTAACTCGGTCATATAAGACGAATCAAAATTTAGGTAATTAGGCAAAGCAATAAGTGAAGAAGATTCTCAATTTTTCAAAGATTCTCCCTAAATTTTGTTTCGTCATGATAAATGGCCGAGTTATGTAGATTTGTGCGTTGCCCTATATTTAGATTTCAATGGCTTATGCCAAACTGTTTAGCAAAAAGGGACGTCTTAAATGTTCCTTTACATTGTACAGGCGTTCACAGAGCATGACACACGACCGTTTAGCAGTAAGATTTACGTTGAACTGATACATTTTCAACAAGGAGTCAATAGGCCGGTTCCTGAACGTACAGGGCGAGTGTAACAATCACCTGATCTATGGCTATTTTTAACCATAATTGTCCCCCGCCTTTCGGACACAATAACTCTCTAATTGAGCTAGAATGTTTAAACTTGGTGTAGGTGTTTATTAGGTCAATACCTTGATGGAGTTTGAAGATGAGCATTTTCCGCTTAGGGTAAGCGGAGATAAGCAATTTGATTGGTTGATGCTTTGGGACACGATAACTTTAGTTCTAATTAAGTGCGATTAATGAAACTTGGTGTATAGTTTCATTACATCAATACCTTGACTAAGTTCGATAATGAGCACTTTCTGCTCAGGGTAAGCAGAGCGACAAGCAATTTGATTGGCTAATATTTTGAAACACAATAACTCTCCTCCTAATTGAGCTAGAATGTTCACACTTGGCGTACCGTAGGTGTTTATTAGGTCAATGCCTTGATGGTGTTCAAAGATGAGCATTTCCTGCGTAAGGTAAGCAGAGATGAGCAATTTGATTGGTTGATACTTTGGGACACGATAACTTTAGTTCTAATTAAGTGAGAGTGAGGACACTTGCTGTAGAGCGATAAGCAATTTGATTGATCGAGACTTTGGAACACAATAACTCGCCTTCTAATTGAGCTAGAATGTTCAAACTTGGTGTAGGCATTCATTAGGTAAATCCCTTGATGGAGTTCGATGATCAACATTGCTTACGGTAGGCAGAGATAAGAAATCTGGTTGGTTGATGCTTTAGGGGCACGATAACTCTGAATATAGAATCATTATATTAGACCGGAGGGATGAAACTAAGTGTGTAATTTGATTGCTCGATTCTTTTGAAAAAAATAAATGTGCGATTAATTAATATGTGTCATCTATTTATTTTGGGATTTCGGCAGGGGACATCAGCCTCACTGTTGGCTTGTTCTTCTTGATTTGCCTAAAGGGATCATTTTTCATTAGATATGTAGAATTTTATAATAATCCAACACTATTTACAAGTAGAATTTTTGTGATTCAAAAAATAACATCAGTTATTGTCTGTTCTCTTTCAGGCAAGAACTATTAAAGTGGAATGGTTGGGGTTACAAAGATTCAAATTTTACCTTCAACAAAGATAACCAGATTGAATTTACTGGTGAAAGGTATGGTAGATTATTAGTTGACTATAATTAGATATAATAAGATATGATTATATTAGTAATACATGTACATAAATGGTTAGACTGTTAGTGACAATAGTCCATTTACAATTTTTTTTTCTTCACACACAATATTATTTGCTTATTGTACATCAGCTTCTTATTTATTTAAAACAAGCATTTTGTTTAATAGGCTTGTTGTATGTATTTTAGGTATAGACTGAGTGGTAAAATTTTACCCCATTTAAAAGACTGGGTAAAAGCAACTCTTGGTATAAAATTAGAGGATAGAGCACCAGCGCAGGTACTTGTATTAACTAACATTATGTTATAGTATTAGGTTATACCAGTAATTTGCTTTTCAATTATGTTGTCTGCTTTAAGAGTCGATAGACTGGGCATTTTTAGAGAGTATGGCCCATTACCCATCATAAATATCATGTTATTGTAGAATATTGCAAATTTCTGTAGACTATACCAATATGTTAATTTGAATAAGAAAAGCCAAAACATGTTCATTGTTTCTAGATTCTATTACTCTGTACATCCTTATTTTAGTGCTTAGCCAATCAAAATTGAAGTATCTACTAAAAATTTGGATTTTATCTTTAGTTAAAATTTCATGTAACAGGACCCTGGTTGTAAGAGGGCAATAAATATTGTTAAATGTAATTCTGATGTTTTAGTCATTTCAAACTCTTACAATATAAATCATAATTTTATTGCTTACATAATGGTTTTCCTGTTTGACTTTAACCAAATGCCCTATCTATTTAGTCAGTTACTGTTTATAAAATTATTCATTTTATGGATCTATTTTATGTGTACATTATTAAATATATTTTCCTGTACAGGCAGAGATAACTGCTGCAGACATTCCAAGTCCTAAAAGAAATGATGAATTTTTAGAGGAATTAAAGCAAGCAGGTGTATCATTGTCTGATGATTGTCAAGATAGATTATTTAGAGCCCATGGTTAGTACACTTGTATTAGTCCATGTATAATACATTTATGGTTCATTTCTACAGTGTCAGTAACAAAGTGACCATCAAAAAAATTATTTCAAGGTTCCATATATCTGAACTGACAGAATATGTAATACTAATAGTAATAAAAGTAAATATTTTAAATATTTTTAAGATTGTTTTCTGGCAGAGATAAAAGGAAATGAAATGGGGTTTAACGTCCTACTTTTCTGCTCTGGCCAGGCTAGTACAGTGTTCGAGGGTTCTTTTACTTGCACGCCAATGTATACACAGGATCTCAGTATTTCGTCCAATCTTTACGACTAGACACTTTCCTTGCCATGGCCTCTGTCCTGCACCACTGACATGGGGAAACTGTGCCATAAGGTGAAGATAATGTAAACTGATACTTATATTGAAAACCTTTATTGTATGGTTTTTTTGCAGGCCATACACTTCATGAAATATTTACATTACGTGAGGGTAAATTTGAACGAATACCAGATTTGGTGGTATGGCCAGGTAGGTTATGCAGATTGAATTACAATTAACAAACATAAAAACTATTTTTTACTTCACGAGTGTTGATCTCTTTTGTTATCAAAAAAGACTCATAGGAGATTCTCTGTATATATCTTACTCTTCATTATTTACAAACTTTTGTTCCGTTGATGTACTCTGTAGCTGAATCTAGATAAACTTAAAAGATAAAACAGAAGAACAGAAAATAATGTAGCTTTTTCTTCATTGTTTTTCAGTGAGTCACAATGAAGTAGTTATAACTGTAGAATTAGCATGTAAATATAATGTAGTTATTATACCATTTGGAGGTAAGTTGATTCAATAGTTATTTAAATCATTATAATCAATTATTTGTTTCAATGATTGGAAGCATTCCATGTACAATTTTCAACAAGATGAACGGTCGACAAACTGTGATCCATTAATTATTGCTAAATATACTGTTATTTGTGGAATATCCAAATACTAAGTCATATATTTTGTGTCGGAGAGAAATTATTTTCCCGGTCTTTTGTAAACAAAAGTTCTTTTTATAATTTTTTTGGATTTGATAGGGCTTTGCCTCCAATAGTTTGTCAGTCTCGGCTGTCAATGGTTTTCATATTTCTTCTATTTATATTCTTTATTTAGGTGGTACGACAGTTTCAGGAGCTTTAGAATGTCCAGCTACAGAACAAAGAATGATAGTTTCATTAGACACATCACAAATGGTAAGTCAGAATGTTGAAAATATTCTTAATAATATAGCACAAAAATTGTTAATTGATATCTCAATACTGAGGTACAGTCTCGATGTTTATTGTTCTGTTGACTTACATTTTGTCGTAGTTTGACAACAGTGGACCAAATTTAGGACTCTCCAACTTTGTAATCTAAGATAACTTTTGGTGTAGATTACGAATTTAACGCAATGTGCGATTCACACAGTTCATGCCACCAGGTGGCAAAATGTGGAGCAAATGAACTATTCACTTTATATTTCAGGATTTTCACAGCCTCTGGCAAAGTCACTATTGTATACATAAACTCCAAAATTAGCATAGTTAATGTCAGTTTGTCTTTTATCAATTTACAAAAGATTCTGAATGGATGGGATATATACTTTTCCAAATATTTAGTCTCAAAATTCAGTGCACACTGAAAACGTACAAAATATACCCATTTTCTTTTTCAATTATGGCCGCGTGGGACAGAGGTTAAAATTCTGAAAATGGTTGATAATGAAACTTCCTTTACCCTACTATAACATACATTAAAGTCCATCTTGTGTATTTGATGGCTTATATTTTTAATTGGCACTTGAAATTGGAATAAATAAAGTTACTCATTGATAAACCGATTACATTAAAAGATCATGTGTTGGGTTACAAATACTATGATACAAGTTACTATGAACTAGATTATTTGCTAACCATCATTTCATTTACAATATACAAAATTTATCACGTATCTGACCAAAAAACTAAAAACATTGATGTCTTAATTTATAAAAATCCTTACCGAAGATTAGAGTACAGGATGATTTTAAAAAAAAAAGAAAATAGATTTATTAAAGATACATTATGTAAGATTTAGATAAAGAACAGGCTGTTTTTGTTATAAAAATAGATAATACAAAATGAGTATATTGAAAATTTCATTTAAATTACTTTATTCTGAGCCAAGTTATCACTGTTTTTAGTTTTGACAAGATGTGTGCATTGATTGTTCATTATCGTAACCACGGCACTACTGGTATATTCAAGACTTAGACTCGATCCTCCGTTTTTAAATTAAATCATTAAATGGTCAAATCGTTCTGATCTACTTAAAATCTTGAGCTTCTGATTACATCAAGAGTTGATTATTGTCTTGACACAGGGATGTCATTAGAAGCCAGCAACCAGCAAATTGCGCCGTTTAAATTAACCCAATTTCCGGATACTTCTCAGCTAAAAAAGATCAGTAATGTAATTTTAATAAAATAATTTTGCGTAATATTAATTTAAGCTAGACTGGATTGCGTGTTTAAAACAAATAAAAGTCATAACCGTATGATGTTGCGATAGATGTTATTTGTACGTCTAATTAATAATAAACTTATTACGTATATAAATTGTTGTTTATTTTTAAAATAGATTAGCCTTGGTATGAAGAAATACCGATTCGAATCAAAACACTGCATACGTGAGTGCGACAAATACCAATATGGTGGACAATTCTCTGTCGATTTGCATGCCAAAAGTGGAGAAAAACTAATAAATAGTTTGTAATCACGAATTCATAAATTGTTTATTGTTATTAAAATAATGTAGCTTTGATTCCGAATGAAGAAATACAAGCGTTTTGTCATCCATGAGTGCTATGTCATTTGTACTTTATTATAATAATGAGCAGACGAAATCTGATTTGGCAAATTCCACGATATCGCGTTTCAACAAAAATTGTTTCAAACTCAAAGTATTGTTTAAATGAGGGCAAATTTATTTTCACATTTTTTAAATGCTACATTAATACTTTAAAGTAATTAATGTGACTGATGTACGTATTGTATTATTATTAGTGCTGATATCAAGTAAAATTTTACGCATCGATGCATCGGACACAAACATCGATTCTCGTATCGATGCATCGGGAATTTTTTGCCGCCATTTTGTTAATCAAAAATTACAGAAATAACATTAGTATTTCTGATAGAAACATGAATTTCCCTAACATTATCATTAGGCCTACTATAGAAATGTCGATTTATTTGAATAAATTTATTTCCACAATATTCTTCTGTTATTTATTATGACATTAATTATTAGTATGTTTTGCCGATGCATCGATAATACCAAAAAGTACCGATAATCGAAGCGTCAGCCGAATCGATGCATCAGCGATGCATCGATACTTGATATCAGCACTAATTATTATATACACAAAGGATTAACTCACAGAAAACATTGAGTCGACTCCTATGCACGAAAAATGGACGAAAAGAGAACAATAATCGATAGTAACATACTGGCAGATCTTATAATAACATTATATAAAAACATAAAGTAATAAACAGCTCTTGTTTTATTTTGGATATAACATTGGTCATAAATTCATATATATATAAATTTGGGATATGAAAACAAGCATTAAAGTTATCTCCCTAGCATACAGGTATTTAACAATCTACAATAGAAATGTTAAGCATGCACCACAGGCTTTATTTTAGGCCTAATTTCTGAAAAAAAACACGCTGTTCATACTTCCTGCTCACCGATTCAGTTCTGTGGCCCTCAACATTTTCTGCCCCTTTAACAAAATTTCCTGACACTAAAATTATTTATTAACGTATGAACTGCCATAATTAATTTTATATTTCTGCGGTGTTGGAATATCCAATCTGTTATTATTTCAGTTGTAAACTTTCAGTATGTATTCTTATTGCACTGTATTGTATACAGTTAAACAACCGGACATTTGTCAATGGCTAATTAATATGTCACTAAAAAAAAATAAAACAAGTAATCACTTTTTTCATGTCCCTGAAGCAACGACTGCGAGTTTTACAACATCTGTACATAGCTAGATTACTCCACAATTCCCTAACTTATAGGTACGTTATCTACAGAAACGTGAACAGTAGCGTCCAATCAGACATTCTGACATAGCAACCTTCACGAAAACCTTGACATTGAACGAACCTTGAACTTTGCAATTCGATTATCACAGGTAGACATTTTAGCTTGAAAGTGCGAGACTTGGTATTCGCGATGATCAAGGAATCTGATAGGCTCACAAGCAAAGCTTGTACCCAATCGAAATTAGTGCCGAAATATGCAGGGTATTACGTGAAGGCATTGATAAGTTGTACGTAGTTAAAGCTAGATCAAGCTTTCTACTGAAGATGCACTTTATTTTGACCTAATGCAAAGATGTTTTTCTCCTTTTAAAGCTGCAATTTCATATTTTTAAGTTATATTTTTAAAATTTATTAAATAAAGCCTTAAAATAGATGGTATCCATAAACCATCCTACCTTGTTAAAGAATGATCCTATTATTCCTATACTTCACTATTGCCAGCTGAGAAATTGTCAAAAATATCATTTTCAATTTCAAATTCCAACGTTTGAAGGTAGCTAATGCATGGAGGCAATAGGAAAACAAGGGAGGTAATTGTGTTATTATTTCCTGTGTCAATGATTTTTAAGGGTGGGAAATAATGCCCATGGTCGTATAATAGTGAGTTGATAACCTATTGAGTAAAAGACATAGAAATAATTATGTTTTGACTTTCTTAGAAAATATGAAATTATCGCTTTAAGTGAAAAATATCAACCACATCTACACTTTTCTTTGATATTTTTTCCCGATAATGTTGTTTTGAGGAATGGATTAGAAATTGTGTCAAATAAGGAATATGTATATGTGTAATATATTGTAAACATATTTATGATTTAATTATTGTATTGTTCTAGAATAAAATATTATGGGTAGATGAGAAGAATTTAACAGTTCATGCTGAATGTGGTATTGTTGGCCAGGATTTGGAAAGATTGGTAAATATCTCAATGCAAAACATATCGACCAGTTGATTGATTATTTTTTTAAATTAAAAATTCAAATTTGGAATGATCAGTTTATATAGCATTGGATAAATTTATGGGTGTTTAATTTTCATATTTTTTTCTTTTTTTGAGTTGGCTGAAAAGGGGTTTTGTACAGGCCATGAACCAGATTCAATGGAATTCAGTTCATTAGGAGGTTGGGTTGCAACTCGAGCTTCTGGCATGAAAAAAAATATTTATGGCAATATAGAAGATTTGGTAAGATACTTTATAGTCTTTTTGAAATGTCTCACTTTACAGATTGAAATTTATTTTTGGTTTGATACATGATACTCTTAAAATCAATATACTGCACAACTTGCATAAATTCAGTCTTGTTTTTATATCTATCCAATCTGTCAATCCACTTTTTCTTGTTAACATTCTAAACACTACAATTATTGTTAATTTTAACAATTTCTATGATGATTTCCGACAATAACTTCTGAAATTATGCCCACGTGACTGTTAATAAACCTCAAGCAATGATGTTTATAATTGAAACTATAGATTATACCGGTACATACAGCTTAGTGAAACGATGATTTTTCGAAGGCCACAATTATTATTGGAACATTTTTTTATGATATTGTTGTAATATATTCAGATTGGTAAAAGACAGAAGCTTAGACTATACCCCATGATTATTAAAATTTCTGATCAAATCATTAAGCAATTAAGTTGTGATAATTTTTGTGGGGGGGCCAAGACAACAAAGGTGTTTGAGGGTATATGTTTTATTGTCTGGCAACCTTTGCTTTGTTATTATTTCAAAATTGTCTTTTTTTGTAGTTAGTGCATGTTAAATTTGTTACTCCCAGAGGTGTTATGGAGAAAAATTGTCAAGTTCCCCGTATGTCTGCTGGACCTGATATTCACCATTTTATACTCGGTTCAGAAGGTAAGTTCATTTATTAAATGGCTACTTTAAACTAAACAAAGTATCAACAAACTTTAATTTAATTTGTTGTCCCTTAATAGAAATTGAATAATGGGCATGTTCATTTATTATACACCCTGACAATGCCAAGCACAGATCCATATTTTGTTTATAAAGTGTTCATATTTAGAAGATTAGTGAGCTTTTAAAGATGGATTGGCAAAAAGTCAATGGCCTTTTATTTTGCATCAATATATTTTGTAAATGTTTAGTTTATTATTTTGATAGAGCACATACTCCCCCCCCCCCCACACACACACACACACCCTTGTCCATGCTATTTGCTTACAATGCAGTAATATATCTTTTTTCTTGCTAGGTTGTTGATATATTAATTGGAATTTTCCACTCAAGCTAATAAAGCTATTACGTTTTTCAGGTACACTGGGTGTTGTTACAGAAGTTACATTAAAAATCCGACCATTAGCACAATGTAAAAAATATGGTTCTATAGTTTTTCCTGCATTTGAAGATGGAGTCGGTTGTTTAAGAGAAATCGCTAAACAAGTAAGTACAGTAAAGCCCGTTTATTTCCGGATGCAGATAATCCAGTAACCCTAGAATATAGTGGTCATGCTCAAAAATGTCAGAAATCAAAACAAACATGATCCAGCAATCAGGAATATTTAGTCCAGACAAATTTCATGGGAACTGAAATATGCATTTTTGAGATTTACATAGACTTCAAATTGTGTTTAATAGAATATAGAATGTGGCCTTAAACAGTAACTTTGTCATTTGTGTTAATGTCCCTTGTCTTTTTTTTAGAGGTGTGCTCCAGCTTCAATTAGATTAATGGATAATGAACAATTCCAATTTGGTAAATATATTTTTGTACTAATAGGATTGCCCCTATTGAGTCCACGATCTGCTACATGCAGATATGGCAACACGATTGCCATGACTGACCTCAATATATGATAGGATCACTAAGATTACTACAAGATTAAAACCATGATTTCAATTGTAGCACAAATCGTGATATTGGGAACCTAGCATTAGGTAGTGCTCATACAGATTTGTCACCGGGGCAGAGTAGAGTCAACTTAAAAGCATAAATTTAGACAGTATGTCTCACCAGCACTTTCAGTCGAATCAGTGGTGTATTTTCTTTGTGTCTCAGTATATATTGATGGCCTAACTTAACCCATCAATGAGCAATTAATTTACTGGAGCTAAATCGCTAATATTTGGGACCTAGAAATTGACACAAATGGGTCGCAACACATATAATAATACATTCAATCGTTTCTGTTTTTACTGTAATTTCTAATCAGTTATGTTCAGAGAAATATGCTAGAAGTCTCAATCGAATGGCAATCTATAGCGTCTGGTTATTCCAGTCTACACCAATAGTATTTATTGCGCCTGCTCTCCAGATAAGAATATGGGGTTACCGTTTGACATGGCTTGTGGAATATATCTAGCCTCGTTTTTCGAGTCCCTTGTTACAAATAGCGCTGAAACGCATTATGGTACAGGATTCGTGTACCAATGGTAAAATGTTTATTTTGTCTTAAATATTGGATATCATCTTTTCCTGGTAAGATCACTGACATCAATGTTCATTTAAATTGACAAATCATTTGTGTTGTCATTGTCGAAGACTTTGGATGATATCGTGTTAGAGACTTAGCTACTTTAACTTGGTGTCTCATTACTAAGTGTAGTCATTTCTTCTCTTTTTCAGGTCATGCATTAAAACCGGATGCTAATTCAATGATATCAAGTTTTGTTGATGGTTTAAAGAAATTTTATATAACCAAATTAAAGGGCTTTGACCCATTAAAGCTTAGTGTCGCTACGTTGCTATTTGAAGGTACTAAAGAGGTAAGAATAGATTTTAGTAATAATGATTATGTGGTATTATTTTAAAATGACTGGTATAGTGCTATCTTAGGTGTGTTAAAATTATATGTTTGGCATTATTTTACAAGTACCTGCATTGTATTTTAATATTATTGTTATGATTACATGGTATTATTTTATAAGTAATTAGTACCTGTATTGTGTTATATTAACATTATAATTATATTAGTGTTATATTTATATTGTAAGTGTTATAATTATATTATTAGTGTTATAATTATATGATATTATTTCATAAAATGTTATATTATTATTATGTTATGGTATTATTTTATAGGAAGTGGCTGCTCAAGAAAAGAGAGTTTATGAAATAGCTGCCACTTTTGGGTAAGTTCTAGTAAAAGATCAAATTACTTGGTTGAGGTATGTAATGATGGGAATTATTATTATGTTTTATTTTTTTTTTGAGTGCAATTTCTTTCAAATAAGGTATTTTCAAAATTTGATTATTATGATAATGAAATACCCATATAAATATACAATACACATTGACTACATACCTGAACTAGAATTGATGTTGGCTTTCTTTCTCAAGATGACGTATATGGATTTTTTTACAGAAATTCTTTATTTAAATTTCCCTAAAAATTTTACTATCAGTATTTTATTGGAGACATGAAGATTGTTGTATGATTAAATATTGTTGGGTTTTTTTGTCTTTTTTTTTAAGTGGAATACCAGGTGGTGCTGATAATGGTGAAAGAGGATATATGTTAACATTTTCTATAGCTTATATTAGGGTATGGTTAATTTTTTATGTGATATTTGATATATCAAAGCAAATATAATAAAGATATTAATACATATTCACAGAATTTATTACAAAAATATTTATGTGATCTGTAACAAGCTTTACGTATCCATCTTTTCACATTAATCAACCACTTAATAATCACTTCTGTCAGGTTATGTAATCATACCCTTTTGGAAATATTTTGGTTAGAACTTGTTATTATACAAACATCATTATGTACCTTTTAATCTGGTTATATTTCAGGATTTAGGCTTTGAGTATTATGTAGTTGCAGAATCATTTGAAACATCCGTGCCATGGGATAGGTAAATACTTTTACTCTTAATAAACAATGTTATAAGTGTTATAATTTACTGAATCAAGAAATTGAATTAGGAAGTTAGTGTTTATTCAGAAGAGTTTTTGAAAGTTCCATCTGTTTTCTGATTTTAGATGCCTCGATTTATGTCAAAATGTTAAAGAGCGAGTCCACAGAGAATGTAAAGATCGCGGTATTCAAATTCCTCCTTATGTCACATGCAGGTAAATATTGTACAATATTTGAAATGATATGTTAACGATAAATTTTATATTGAAATTGGTTGAGTTTCTTTTAACTGCTGTTTATATTGTTGTCACATTCATGAGGGCTCTACGGGTCAGAGTTCTTTACAAATTTGCAGGAATTGTTCATTGGGTCATAAGGAAGATATCTTATCAAAATTCATAATTTTCTATGTCAGATCTGACCAAGTTATCCCCCATTTATGTTTAAATTTCTGAAATCTTTTGAATCTAGCACAGATGAATTTGCTACTGGTCTGACAAGAACCTGTTTTTATTTTAAATTTGGCAAAGATTCACATTTTTAGATCAAGATGTTGAAATATTTAAATAAAATGAATGTAATACAGTTAAAGATATATTATGTAAGATTTAGATAAAGGACTGGCAGTTACATTAGTTAATAGTTTAAAAATAGATATTGAAAAAGGTTACATTGAAAATTTCAGTCAGATTACTTTAATCTGAGCAAACTTATGACTGTTGGAAGTTTTGATAAGAATAGATTAGTCTCAATTTTCATTGCTACCCTTGTTACAATAATAAATCAATGATTATCCATTTTTATACGTCCGTCAGTTGGGGTGATGGGGGGGAATTTGAGCTTTTTATACGCCCACATTGAAATGTGGTCGTATATTGTCATCATCCCTGTCTGTCCGTCCGTCTGTTCACAATTGTTTGTGGACGTTCTATAGGCCAAAGTTAATATACGATTTATACACATTTCCGGTAATAATTGCCAGAGTTATAACCCTTGATTACTTTGAAATATCTTGTGGACTGCTGAAGTTATGACCCTTGATCACTTCAAAAAATCTTGTGGACGCTCTTAGAGGCTAAAGTTAATATTTGATTGACTTTAAATTTATGCAGTGTTTAAGCCTTTAAAGTCATGAGACGAAGAAGCCTATTGATTTTCTAAGATTTCTGATAATTGCTGCCAGTTGTGGCCCTTGATCACTTTGAAATATCTTGTGGATGCTCAACAGGCCAAATTGATCATTCCATTGTTTTTAGATTGATACAAGGTCTTGAGACGAACAAGTATATTGATTTTCAATGAATTTTTATAACTTGAACAGCTAAATCTGCGATATTGTTTTGTGTACTAAACGTTAGCATGGGATAGAACAAGAAGCTAAACAAATTCTAATAATTTTTTGTTAATTACTTAATGAGTTCTTACTCTTAATGAGACTTTATAGTATTATAAATGTTTCATTACTGACAACAGAAAAAATATGCGACAACTCTTGTTGACTGCCCGGGCAACTAAGCTGCTGTGGACTTATGTTTCATTGCCTGGCAACCTATCTTTAAATTGAATGGTGATTGCTATCAATCTATTAAAAATCACGACCATCCAATGGTCTATAGAGTTGATTATGGGCTTGTCTTGGAAATACATGTCTAATAGTTTATTTAACATTTGAGACCAAAAGAAAGATCTACAGTAGGCAGATTTAGCTCTTACATAATGCGTCTTTAAAATAACTATGTTGCAGTTGATACATTGCTTTTCCTCTTTATAAGCTTAATCTATGATAGCCGAACGTAAAAAAATCATGTTATTATTTATTATTTACAGAGTTACACAGACATATGATGCAGGAGCTTGTGTATATTTTTATTTTGGGTTTAATTATAGAGGTATTGCTAATCCAGTACATCTATATGATACTATAGAGGTGAGAATATCTTATTCTATCAGATACAATGTGGTGTTACAGATTTTTATATTGAAATAAGAGAGAAAATTACAAGTAATAAGTAAAAGCCATTAATTGTTTTGAAATAATGCTATTGCTGTGAAAGATTTCATTTCAGTGCATTATGGGTTGTTCTTTCATTCTAAATTTCGGTTTTACAATATTAGTTATTAACCCTGCTGTAAGACATGTACATGTCATGTAATTGTTTTATCATTTTTATGTATGTTTAATGACTTGTATAACAAAAGTAAAAATGGTTGTGGTGCTCAAGTTTAGATTTGTTGTTGATTCCATAAAGTAGTTAGGTTTTTAAATGTTAAAAACTGTGTGATTCAACATGGCACCCGAGGGGTTTAATATGAGTTAGCACCAAATAGTTTATTTATATGAGGGTCAAGGTTTGGACTATGCCTTGGAAATTGAAAGATGGAGGAGACTAGTATGTGTCTCTCTTTTGTGGACAGAGGTGAGAACCTGTCATCCTTCAGTTATGTGACTTTGTTGAATGAGTGGTTTCTTTTCAACCAAATCAGCTCTGGACCGATTTGAGTCTATGGTATCTCTCGTAGCTGAGAGAATAAAGATTTTTTAGCCGAGAGAAAATCTTCCGTCAAAGTGGTGGTTGATTCCGAAGAAAAAAAGGGAATCACGACCAACCGATTTGATCAACAAAATTAGCCAGAGACAGAGAGTGAGATAATACAAGAGATAAGAGTGGCTAAGAAGACCTGGTTATCCTGGTTGTCAGTGACTAGTTTCGTTCGTATAAAAGCCTGCCACATGAGTTCAATCAGTCGAAAGAGTTCAATACGAACTAAACTAGTCACTGACAGCCAGGATAACCAGGTCTTCATAGCCATTCTTATCTCTTATATTATGTTTAATGATTGTAAAGTGCCGTATTGATATAAGGCGCTTTATAAACCTGTTTACTATTAGGTGCTTTATAAACCTGTTTACTGTATTCCAGGCATGTGCAAGAGATGAAATATTAGCTAATGGTGGAAGTATTTCACATCATCATGGCAGTAAGTGTGAATAGAAATTCTAAGAAACCCTTTTTTTAAGTAGGCAGTAATGGTAGTTATAAATGGATCATCAGGATTATCATCATCCATCAGTATTGTCTATACTAATTGTGACTGTCGTTTGTCTGTCTGTCTATTCAGGGTTGGCAGCTACATTAGGGTTGACCCGAGGCTGAAATTTGGTGTATGTGGGTAGCTCAGCCCGGGGAGTAACATAGAGTATGTGACATTGGCCTACCGCTTCTGGTTTCAGAGTTACGGGCACAACCCGGGCAGCACCGTGTTATCCGCTAGTATTTACATGTTCACTAATTTGATCATTTGCAATTTTTAATTTATAAATTACCTGAAGATCACCAAACCTTATTTCTAAATAGTGTGGAAGCCACAATGGTTAAGGTGAATAAGGTGCTTGCTTACTAACCAGAAGGTCCGGGGTTTGATCCCGGTGCTGGTCGAGAAAGTTTCCCCGAATTTTCCAGCTTGGTGCAGGACTGAGGGCCTGAAAAGGAAAAGCATTCAGTTATTTGGATGGTATAAAAAAAACAAGGTCCTATGTACACCTAGGCATGCACATGAAAAAATCCTTGACATTTGGAATTCGTTTGATGTCCTACAAAATTTTCACTCATAGCACACTGTATGTGGTATAAGCCCGGTTGATGTAGAAAAGTTGGACGTTAAACCCATGTCATTAATCCATTCGAAATAGTGTCTGGTTTCATTCTATAAACTTTACATGCATTTAAAATGTAATGTATGTTAATTTGTAAATTTTTGTTTTTCAGTTGGTAAAGTACGAAAGCGATGGTTAAAGAAAACTGTAGGAGAAGTTGGGTTAGGTGCTATGAAGGCCATCAAAGCTTATATAGATCCACAAAACATATTTGGCAATAATAATTTAATGATGGGCAATCTTTAATAGTTTACTCAGGTAAACATTGTATCATGACATTGTCTAAATTATTATTACTTTCTTTTAATTATTTTAATTGTAAATTAATTTCTATTGTATCATGCTCTCAGACAAAAAAGTAAATAATTCCATATTCAATTAAAATTAATATCATCCTGTAAAATTGTATAATTATCTTAGGAACATATGCCCTGGTTTTACTTTAGTTATTTTAAATTATTTTCCCACAACATTCGAAGAAAGCAGGCGTTCATTAAAATGGGTTCATATCTCTATTTTTCACACCTTTCAGACATACATGTAATAAATGAATATCTTGACTTAGATCAATGATGAGCATTGACTGCATAGATTAAGATGAAATGAGCTTTGGAATATGATAACTTCGATTCTAATTAAGTGAAAGTGATAAAACTTGGGTGTATTGTTTTATTATATATCAGTATGGGGGGGGGGGGATGGCAGAATGATATGCACGTGCACGTTGTATCATAAGGTCTGTCATTGAATAAACTGGCGTGGTTTTGATTTCTCGGTTGCATGTGACGAGTAGGGTCACCTGTCGAACCTTGTCGGTTTTCACTGGGTCCTCTGGTTTCCTCTCACTGCTAAAGACCCCTACGTGCAAGTGAATTATTGAAATAAAATTGAACCATATGATAGTCCCAAAATTACCTAGTTTGTGTCAAGTGGAAGTTAAACCCCATTTCTCTCTATATATATATCTGTACCTTGATTAAGTTCAGTAATGACCATTTTCTGCTCAGGTTAAGCAGAGTGATAATTTGCACAATTCTTTATTTCTTATAAGATGATTTCAGTCTAAATTTCAAATTTATCTAAAGTAAGAGCAGGGCATATAAACCTTAGTTGGTTTTTTTTTTTATGAGATTCTTTGTACCCAGTAAATTTGTGGTCATCTTTATATAAACCCTATTTAAACTTCTGAAACTTATATGAATTGTGTTAAATATGAATTGGTGAGGATGATTTATTTTTGAAACTGGGAATACTCATTCATGTCAAGAAAATCAAATGCCATAGTAGAGTTGCTTATATAACTGTATGGGTTGGTAGATCATAAAATTCCTGTTAAATACAGTAGTTATTTTGCAGAAAATTTAATAGTGCCAATTACCATCCTGTGACTCTTACATGTCTTTTAACTTGAAGCAGATGAAGATTGAGATCAGCCAAAAGTTTTTATATAGGCTGAGAACTGGTATGCCACATCTGACAATCATGTCTTACATATCAAATATGTACATGTAGGTGTATTTATTCCAACTTTTATGGAATGCAAACTGGTATAGAAAAATGCTGTAATACCAAACATTATGTAATATGATTTGTAATGTATATGAATTTATAAATGTCATGTTATCAAATGCTTTGTCAATCTTGTCACTATTTATCATTCAATCCGTATTTTTTTTTCATCTTCATCTTTTTTGTACTATTAATTTTAAGATAAATAGCAATACATCATTTTAAAGAAAGAAATTACCATAATGCTTGTTTCTCCTTGTGCTTGAAATGTCACGATCTCTATACATGCCAAATTTTTAATCTTATTAAGATGTATTTATTCTTGACAATATGCAGTATATTTTAGTTTACATTCCCTCTCACCAGATTCACGGTTAGGTTCTGTTAATAGTGATAATTAAGTTAAACATGCAAATTTATAGAACTATTAAACTATTCTGGTGACAGTAAACTAAAACTTAATTTCTGTCATTTTGTGATAAATGAAGTAGAACTTTTTATACCTAAACTGTAATTAGAGCATAATTATTATTTAATAAAATATCAATTGTTGGTTTATGCATTGTATTTTGTGTTATAAGCTTTCCAAAAATGTATAGTTTTTTTAGTAGGGAGGACCTTGTAGCAGAACCTCTCGCTAGCAATTTTGGCTGCAGGTGTATTAACCATTTTCTCATTTTGGAGGCAAAATAAAAATGATTACGTATTTGTAATCTACGCAAAAGGTGACTCAAAATACCATCTGAATAAAACACAGATCCTTTTTCGTTTCGTTTTTTGTAGTTCAAATTTTACTTATAAGTATAAAAAAAACGAAACAAAATATAGATCTTTAATTTAATCAGATTGCTCAAAATAGACACGATTGAGGAGTACAGGTCATTTAGAAGTTATTTTAAAATCAACGTGAAAATTCAACAATTTTGATAATAGCCCTTAAAACTTCATCACTGCACAGATTTCAAGTGCCAATTAAAAACATAAGCCATCAAACACACAAGATGGACTTTAATGTATACTATTCAAAAAAAGTAGGGGATATTTGATTTTTAAGTGTTATTAAAGTCACCTAATGAAACTGACGAAGAAACAAATGACAAAATGAAATGAAGTTCACATTCATCGATTTATTCCAAATGATCGTTAGACTAAGTAAGGCACAGACTGACCATTATAAGGGTAAAATGATACCTGGGGTCAAACAGCAAAGTTACCACAGCATCACAACCAAGTCAGTAACGGGTAAATCCTCCTCTGTTTGCCAAACAAGCATTGATCCGACGTGGCATACTCCTAATGAGACGTCTAAGGTCATTTTGGTCCAGATTGTCCCATTCCTGTTGCAACGCAGCAGCAAGTTCTTGGACATTGGCAGGACGTTGTTGACGTTGACGTAACCTCTGTCCAAGCATGTCCCAGACATGCTCGATGGGGGAGAGGTCGGGACTCAGTGCTGGCCAAGGTAATGTGGTGATGTTCTGTTGTTGGAGGTAACCTGTAACGATCCTGGCCCTGTGACATCTTGCGTTGTCATCCTGGAAGATGAAACGGCAGCCATGACGTCGTGCGTACGGCACAACATGGACTGCCAAGATGTTGTCCCGGTAGTACTGGCCTGTAACACGCCCTGCAACAACATGTAAAGCCGTTCTTCCAGCAACAGTGATGCCTCCCCACACCATAACAGAACCACCCCCAAATCGATCATGTCTGATGACGTTAACGTCTTGGAAGCGCTCGTTTCGACGACGCCACACCCTCCTACGTCTGTCCAAAAAATCAACAGTGAACCTTGACTCATCTGAAAACATCACATTGCTCCAGCGTCGATTATCCCAGTGTTGACGATCCCTACACCAACTACGTCTTGCCTGAATGTGATGATCTCTCAAACAAGGGATCACGCGAGGACGTCGGGCGCGAAGGTGACCCCTATGCAGTCGATTCCGAATCGTCTGGCCACTCACTCTCACACAAGTGTCTGTTTGAAGACGAGCGCTGATCTGATTTGCTGTGATGACACGATTTCTCAAGGCCAAGGTACGGATAAATCGATCCTGGGCTTGAGTTGTCGCCCTTGGTCGACCTGAGCGTAGTCTGTCCTGTACAGATTGTGTATCACGGTATCTGGACCATAGCCTGCTTATGACAGACTGAGAAACATTCATCGTCCGCGCCACAACCGCCTGTGTTGTGCCGATCTGTAGCATGCCAAGGGCACGTAACCTTTCATTTTGGGTAAGCCGACGCATATCAAAATTTGTTTTCTGGTCACTAAAACAATTAAACTGATGTTTCCACCCTGGAATTCAATGCCAAAATGACTATAACATTCAAAGTCAGAGTCGTGCAAATCTTGGGTTGGACCCCCATGATGATCCCAAGCATCACCTGCATTCCATGCGGTAGCTATTGGTGCGTTTGGGCGTCACATGTAACTGGAAATGTTTCTTCTGTTAGGTTCTATAGTGACTTTTTTCGTAGTCATTTGCATATTTTAGTATTATGCCCCCAAAATCAAATATCCCCTACTTTTTTTGAATAGTATATGTTATAATAGGGTAAATGAAGTTTAATTATCAACCTTTTCAGAATTTTAACCTCAGTCTCACATGGCCAAAATTGAAGGTGAAAATGGGTATATTATGTGTGCATTGAATTTCAAGATTTAATATTTGGAAAAGTATATATCCCATCAACTCAGAATCTTTTGTAAATTGATAAAAGACAAACTGACATTAACTATGCCAATTTTGGAGTTTGTGTATACAATAGAGACTTTGTGAAAGGACCACCTGTTATTGTCAGTTGAAAGGAATAAGTTTGCTTTTTCCTTGACAGCTAAATCCTGTTGCTGCAAAAGCTTCTGATTTACGTACCATCAAAATGACTAGACAGCTGTCCTTGTCGGGCCCTCCGTCCTGCACCACTGTCAAGGGGAAACCACGCTGAAAAACCCTGATGAACTTCCGTGGCCAATACCGGGAGTGCACCCGTGGCCAACACCGGGAGCGAACCCGCGACCTCCAGGCTACAAACCACTGTCTTAGTTACCGTGGCTCCCCTGTGCATTAAAGACATGGAAAATGAAATGAAACAAAATGGGGTTTAACGTTCTACTGTTCTACTCCGACTGGGCTAATGATCGAAGTTGGGCAAGGCATACGCTGTACAGTGTGCTACGGGAGAAATAAAATAAATGAGAACTTGGCCTGCGCATTATGCAGCACTGATGGTGAGGTGATGCATCTAGCCAGTCAGGTTGTCAGCTTGCCCAATGCGTTGGGCCCCTGAGGAAGTGGGCCCCCTTAGACATTAGACAATATATTATTTAAAATATGAATTATCAAAAAATATAAAATATTAGAAAAAAATTATTAGCATGAAAATTCTAATTAAATCTTTTTAATTATCTGCCGATCTGTATGAAATTTATATGCATCATTTAGATTAGTGAAACCACGAAGCCAATTGAATTCCAGCAATTTGCAATAATTACTTCTAGAGTTATGGCCCTTGTTTCACTTTGTTAAACCTTGTTAATGCTCGATTGATGAAAGTTATCATCCAATATTTATGAAATTTATATGCATCATTTAAATTTGTGAAACGGAGGTCTATTGAACTTCAGCAATTTCTGTCAATTATTTCTAGAGTTATGGCCCTTGTTTTACTTTGTAAACCTTGTGAACCTTTGGATGACAAAAGTTGTCATCCGATCTGTATGAAATTTATATGCATTATTTAAATTAGTAAATCGAAAAAACCTGTCAATTTTCAAAATTTTCTGTAAATTACCTCCAGAGTTAAGTCCTTAAAAGTTCATGATATTTATTTTTATACACCCAAAATGAAATGGGGTCGTACATTGGCGTCGCTCCCATCTGTCCGTTGGATGCTCTAGAGGCTAAAGTTAATCTTGTGGATGCTCTACAGGCTAAAGTTAACATCCAATTGTCTTTAAATTTATACACAGTGTTCAAGGTCATGAGATGAAGAAACCTATTGATTTTCAACGATTTCCGATAATTACTGCCAGAGTTATGATGGCCCTTGATCACGTTGAAAAATCTTGTGGGCTCTCTAGATGCTAAAGTTAATATTCAATTGCCTTTAAATTTATACACAGTGTTAAGGGTATTGAGACAAAGACTCCTATTGATTTTCAACAATTTCCAATAATTACTGCCAGAGTTATGGCCCTTGACCTCTTTGAAAAATCATGTAGAAGATTTAGAGTCTAAAGTTAATAACTGATTGATTTTAAATTTATACACAGTGTTTAAGGTCATGAGATGAAGAAGCCTGTCAATATTTAACGATTTCCAATGATTATGGAAATTGATGTTAAAAGTTTTGTATGCTAAATGTTTGAATAGAAACAGCACTTATAGTGCAGAACTAGAAGCCAAATAGGGTTTTACTTGTAATCAGATTTTAGTGTGTTGTAATTGTTTTCATTTCTGACAACAAAAAAAAATATGCGACAACACTTGTTGACACCACGGACGACTTAGCTGCTGTGGGCGTATGTTTCGTTGTCTGGCAAACTATCTTTAAACCAAGAAGTCAACAGGTTTTGTACATTTATAAGGATAACTGATCAATACAATATAGACAGAAATAACAGTAGATAAATACAGACAATTTATATACAAATTAGAATATACAAAAATGTATAAGTTGACAAAGAAACCAATGAACACAAAAATTCTAGTTTCTTTAAAATTTCACGATGAGTGGTCAAAGGGAGGTAACTATTTGTGAATTAATTCTTCACTGGAAAAGATAGAAATGGTATGCTTTACGGTTATCCAGTGAAACTTTCCATAGAAGGTTTTGACTGGATGTAAGAAACTAAAACAAAATGAAGTCCACAGGTCGACCTAAACCGAAAAAGATATCCAAACACAAGAAAAAGGGATGGAAAACGATCGATACTACAGCTTTAGAAGACTTTTTAGACGAACGTAGTTTTGAGGAACGAACAGGGTTAGTAGATTTTATACCAAGGCGATTGTTCATGAAATTACCAACTGTCATATTGGATTTGTTTACAAATTGATGGGGAACACGTGGTGGTGAAAATTGGAATATTATTTATTGATGTGGAGAAACAGAATGTAGATTCTATTTGATTTTATTAAATCTCGAAGTGGAAATGATAATATTCATTATAGTAAGATTGAGCATACGGATTTCTTTTTTTTCTTCTTTTTCTTTTTTTTTTTTTCTTTTTTTAGTCAAAATGTTTATTAAAATTTTGCCTTTGGTAAGACGTAAGTTTACCAGAATCTGTGTGGAATTGAATGTAAGGATTTACCCTAATCCACAAAAAATGAGCTTTTCAAGATACAAATAAATCAGAATTACTGCATAAAAATTACATTTGTGTAAAACGAAATACTGACCTAAACCTGGTTGATCTACATGTAATCCTCACACTCACAGAAAAAGATTTGTCTACAGATGGAGTGTGTGATAATCATTTATTCTGAAAAGTCAGAGTTAAAACATACCCTGTTACATGTATTACACCTATCAATTTGTATCAATGTGACTGAAACTAGCTATGATATATTTTAAAAGTATTTTCTTTTTTTTCAGTGGTACCATCTCAGATAAAAGTAATAGTGAACTATTCTTTGTAGATAAACAAGTTGATTTAACAACAACAGACGGTAAATAGTTACATATTCCTTCCCTTCTGGAGATAAAATGCTCTGATGTAATTGCATGGGGTTTTTTTCTTGTCATTTTTCTTGTTCATTTATGAATATAAATCTGCAGCTATTTTTTCAAGAAACTTTTTAATTTTTATTAGTAGGGGATTTGTAGTGAAACCCCAGTATCTAGTGACCTCATATAAAGCATATCATATTCGGTCAATCATATTGATGCCAATATCTATATTACAGATAACAGTCCAAATCTAATGACTGTATACAATCAGCAGTCAAGCTGACTATTATATTACTGGACTAAAATTGTTTATATTGTAGAAAGTGTCTATAAAATATCAATTTTCACTAATTATGTACATTTTCAATGGTTAATGTAGTATTATATTGTGTACCCCAAGTACTTTTGATAAAACCAAAACAGCTTCTTGCATTATGAATATATTTAGGTGAAAAACCCAACAGAAGAAATAAGAAATTAAGATGTTTCAGTATTCTAGAACCAGATACAAGAATAAAAGCTGTAAATTTGTAAGTACACTAAAGGATATACTAATACTACGATTACTAGCACAATTTTTTTTATATAAAAATGGAAAATTATATACAATAACATTATATTCATTAAAAGCCACAAGTACATAAGTGATGTGTGTTAAAAAAATCTATGGTATATAATATGGTTACTTATTTAGTTTGACAGCCAAAGCACAGAGTACTACTAGAAAATCATAGCACAGAGTACTACTAGAAAATCATTTAAAATGTTTATTTATGTAGCTGTAAATAGTACTTACTTTTGTGTGTATTATGTACATGTAATGTATGTGTTTTGATCATAAGAAAAGTCTTGGTACAGATTGCCTAAGTGAATACCAGTATATGGTCTTAAAGAACTCAATTGTCATGTTTTTTTTTGTTCTTGTTGTATTTTATTGAATCTGGATATCTATTTTTAGAGGAAAAAGCTCAAAGTCACAAAATATAAAACGGCTTCATCCGGATATGAAAAAAAGAAAAATTGACAAAGAAGAAAAATCGTTTGAAGCAGAATTAAATAAATTTCACACTAGGAATCTAAGGCAGCGTAAATATAGACAAAATGCACCAAACTTACTGGTTAAAGATTACGATCTGTGGAAAGGTATTTTTATTTACAATTTTTATTTTTCTATAATTGTAGCAAAAGAATTAAATGATAATCAATTTGGCATTTTTTTCTGGTTATTCGTTTGTACATATTTATATTTGTACTTAACAGATTTGCCAGACACACCAAAAGAAGGTGAAGATCATATATTAGATGTTACAATTACAAAACCTGTCAAGGTAAGTTCATCACAATTAATGTTGCATGTTCAATATCTGGTTCTAGGTGATATGTTGACCAACACGTTTTGCAAAATTTATCAGCGTTTTTAATGTCCATTCCATGTTTGCTATTTTGTCTCAATGTGACCTGACTTCAAATAGGTTAGAGTCAGCTGATTTCAAGCTGATTTCTGATTGGTTAAAGTTTATCAACTTAGGCAACATATTTGACAAACATTTTACTCTGTATACAACTGTCAACCTCTCTTTTACATGGTGTTGGGTTTTAAATGTTGATCAACAAGATCCTGAGAAGTTGATAGTGTATACATGCCTTAAGTCTTCTACTGCTGATTCTCAGTGTCCCATATCAACTATTGCCAGAGACTTTGAAATTACCAAGTATTTTGGTAGATATGTAATACTATATATACTGTAGGTTATTTAAGTTCTCTAAATGATGCTCTGTTTAATGTATTGAAGTCGTTAGCTAGTACAAGTGACAATGAGAACTGGGTTAATTAGATATACCTTGCAGATTAAAACAAATTGGACAATGACATTATAACCTAGTAATCCAAATATGGTATCCCATGCTTTAGAAAAGTGTATACAACTGTCAACCTCTCTTTTACATGGTGTTGGGTTTTAAATGTTGATCAACAAGATCCTGAGAAGTTGATAGTGTATACATGCCTTAAGTCTTCTACTGCTGATTCTCAGTGTCCCAAATCAACTATTGCCAGAGACTTTGAAATTACCAAGTATTATGGTAGATATGTAATACTATATATACTGTAGGTTATTTAAGTTCTCTAAATGATGCTCTGTTTAATGTATTGAAGTCGTTAGCTAGTACAAGTGACAATGAGAACTGGGTTAATTAGATATACCTTGCAGATTAAAACAAATTGGACAATGACATTATAACCTAGTAATCCAAATATGGTATCCCATGCTTTAGAAAAGTGGACACCTGTTATCCCCCCCCCCCCCTTTGTGCCCATATTAGAACATTATGTTGAAATCACGGACAGCTTCTGAGCAGCTGACCAATCAGATAAAGGAAGTACCTGGCCAATTTTCGATGGTTTACTCTATGACTCACACTTTTTTCCTACTTATAAGAAAGAACAGGGTTTAAGTTTCTTTAGACATCATTGGCATTCCTAGAGAGACATATAGCCGTCTGTGCTTAGTTAGAGGCTGGGATACCAACATCATGTGGAGTTCTTTATTAAAAAAATAGAGACAACATGTAGTGTTTGAGCTGTTAGGTCTGGGTTCTAGGCTTGTTAAACTCATCAGACTGTACATGTTTTAATAAGTCCAAATGTACTATCATAGATGTTGTAGTTTCCTATATTTAATGTATAAACATAGTTATAAAAACACAGTATTCCAGAGTTAATTGATAATTGATACATTTGTACCGAGACACAGGATAGTGTCATAGATACATCTGATTTAAACAGTCCATCCATCTTGTTAAAGGCTCAATACCACTCTTGTTGTAACTGAACAATATGTCCCAATCTTTATTCTGGTCAACAAATTGTACTATTTTAGAATATTTCAATTAATTGATGATACAAATTTCATCTTAACACACCTTATTTAAAATTTTTGAAAAATTCAACATAATGGTTTGAAACGTCTAACGTAAACCTTTTCAAATGAAACTTCGATTTAAAAATATTTTCGAACCCTCTGGACAAGTAAAATAGGATGTAATGGATAATTTACACAACAGGTAGGGCACTTAAACATCTAGTACTTAGATAGAGATATTATTTATTTTCTGGAGCTTTCAAGCCAGCAAGAGTGTTATTGTCCCTTTAAATAGATTCTTGTCTAATTGAAACTATCAAGTATTTTGGTAGATACATTTGACTTAGACGCTTCATCCATCTTGTTAAACAGATTCTTGTCTAATTGTTATAGGTGATTTAGAAACCTAGACTATGAAGCTATGTGTAATCTGTATGTCATTTCACTGTCTGACAACCTATTCGTTTTCAGAAATTTTCATTTGAAATTGTCATTCTCTCTGGATGCATTTATATTTTATTTATTATTCAAAGATTTAGTCAGTAGCACGTTAAACCCCATTTAATTTCATTTCAAAGATTTAATAACACATTTTGTTGATCAAAATATCACTCTCTTCTTTATATCTAATATAATTGAATAATTAAACGCTGATAATATCATTTTACATTTCTGTTATTCAGCCACCAAAGAATCATTATAAGAAACCGTCTGCTGTTCCAGCTGTGACTGAACCTCATCCAGGAATGTCTTATAATCCAACATATGGTGATCATCAGGTATTTCGAAAATTTTGTTATAGATTTATAAATAATTTCATTAAAGATGCATTATGTAAGAGCTTAATCTGCCTATTGCAAGTTTTTATTTTTGCTTCAAATGTTAGATAGATTATTATTTAGACATTTATTCACATGCAAGCCTATAATCAACTCACTAGACCATCGGATTGAAATATGATCTCAAATTAATTTAAAAATGGAGAAGCAAGACTGAGTCTTGATTAACAAATAACGTTGCTTTGAGAATAAACAATCTATGCCACATCTTGTCAAAACTTCAAACAATGATATCTTCGCTCAGAATGAAGTAATTGGAATGAAATTTTCAACATATTAAAGATATATTAGTTAAAAGTTTATTTTAATAAAGAGTTTGTCATTCTTGCTATAATAATTCAAATATAGATGATAAAAAAAAGAAAATAAGTTCTAATGAAATTATTTTCCAGTTCAATTTGTACAAACTGTCTTTAGCCCATTAAAATAAAAACTGTAGATATGGAAATTATATTTCTAGAATTTACTGGGAAAGGCATTAAGAGTTGAATTGAAGAAGAAGAAAGATGAAGAGAAAATACTAAAAGAAACTGTTCTCAAGAAAATTGAAGTTGAGGTATTTAATTTGTATAGTTTCATGGAATATTATTCTCAATTTTATATATAATTACAACAAAATTGTTCCATAAATAATAATAAATGTAATATAACATAATTGTGCTAACATCAATAAAAGTTTATTTAATTGTGGTGATAGGAAAAAGTAAAAACTAAAGAAGTTAAAAATGATAAAGATGAGACATCGGAAGAGGATGAAGAAATGTCTGATGAAGACTTGATGTCAACTGGTCTTAATCCTGCTGTTCGTAGAGAAGATAGAAAGTCATACAAACAAAAGCAACATGATTGGAAAGTTAAAATAAGGGTAAGGCATGTTATTTGGTGGATAGGGTGTGATACAATGTAATAATATTTGCAGGAGGACAATCTAACATACAAGACAAACACATAACCAGAAAACAAATACAAACACCAAAGACTTTGTAAGCTATTCAAATGTTATCAAGTCAAGAGAATGTTCCTGACAGCTCTGCAGGTTTCAAATACTCGTGTTGAGTCATGGGTAGAGAGTTATGAATATATTCTGTCAGCAGATTAACCCATTTTACATAAAGTAATACCATATGCCTCTATGATTTTTGTATTCTAAAACTCCAGATATTTAATTTAGCATAAAACAGTACAATTATAGGAGTGTCATAAAGATTTTTATTTAAACATATGTATAACTTGTCTTTGTTTACTCCAGGCCCGACAGAAGAATGCTTTAAAGTCAATAAGGATTAGAGAGAGTGAAGTATATAGGTTGGTATTTTATCATAATCTGTAAATTTTACAAGTTTGTTTTGTTTGTAGCTTCTGTCATAAAAAAATGTATCTAGATGGCAGATGTTGAGTTTGAGATATTAAAAGCTTTTCCTTGCTCCAGATTACAGATTGTAATACATGTAGTGTATTGAATGAATATATCATATAAGTTGTTAACATTTCTTTATTATTTTTTTAAAATAACCTTTTTTTCTTTAAAGGATAAAAACATTTAATAAAGAATTTAAAGAAAAAGAACAAATAACAAAGAAAAGAATGAAGAAAAAACAAAGACTAGAGAAAAGAGAAGTTTTTAAAACAAAAAGACTTGGACATGCAAAGTATCCTTGTAACTAAGCATAAAATTAAGCTGAACCAAGACATTAATAGTCAAGTCTAATAGGGAAGATTCTTATGCTCACATTTAAATGTGGTCACATATTACTGTCAGAAGTATCCATCTGTCTGTTGTCCATGATTCTTTGACTTTGAATATAAATACATAGTGTTTATATCTTTAAAGAGATAGAGAATCATTATATAACGTTCAATTACACAGTTTTATTCTAGAAAAGAACTGCCCAGTGGTGATATTGCTTACATTAAAGACAAAGAGAGAGGGAGAAAGAGAAATGAGGATTAACGTCCACTCGACTCAAACTAGATCATTTCAGGTCTAACACATGGTTCAATGCTATTTCAAAAAATCGCCTGCGCGTGGGAGAAAACTGGAGGACCCGGGGGAAACCCAATGTTGGACAGACAACCCTACTCCTTGTCACATACAACCGGGGAATCGAAACCATGCACATGATTCAATGACACCCCTTATGCTGCAACACACACTCATTAACCATTTGGTCACTCAACCCCCCCACCTATCTTTAGTCGATGCTGTACTTATGTTTTCATTATGAATTAATGCATGTTTCTCCACAACTTACTCAGCAAATATTGGGCGCAGAAATATTCTTGAGATTTTAGTTTGAAATGTAAAGGACAAATTTTGAATCAGTCATGTTCTTATTATTCATTTGTCAAAAGTTGCAGAAAAAATATTGAACAGATGTGATTATTTTGTTAGCAAAACCTTAATTTGTGATAAGATTTGAAGATGCTGATATCGATTTACAACTAGGAAAAGAACTTAGTGGTTCTCTTAGAAAACTGAAGGTAATCAATCATTTTGTGATACATTTTTAGCACAATGGACTCTCAGATAAAATGTTCTGGATTTGCATCCAGACGCGGACCAGGAAGAACACTTCCTTTTAATACTAAATTATTTCAATATGTATTTCTAGCCTGAAGGTAATGTTATGTCAGATAGATATAAAAGTTATCAGAAGAGAAATATTATACCAGCACCAGCAGGCATACAGTAAGTATTATATGCTATAAATAAATATATCTGATGTCTGATATTACTTTAATGAAAATAATATTCTTTTTTTCTCTCTAACCATCCTTTACCTGCTTGATATATGCATGGTAAAAAATAAAAGTTTTGTGTTCTGCTACAACAAATTAGCTGAATAAAATTTAATCTGCCATAAATCTGACAAGCAACAAAAATGAAATTAAATGGGATTTAACGTTCTACTGTTCTGCTCCGAACTGGGCTAATGAAGACAAGCATACACTATACAGTGTTATATGAGGGAAATTTTGCCAAGACAGCGGCACTATGGCCTACTCTTATATCGAATTCCAACTGTCAAGGGATCTTTTAGGTGCACACCAATATGTACACGGGACCCCGGTTTTCCATCCCATCCGAACAACTTGACAGCTGTCCTTGTCAGGAGCTCCATCCTGCATCACTGACAAGGGAGAACCACGCCAGGACAAGCAACAAAAAAGATCTCAAAAAGAAATTGTCATTAATTCCACAAATGAACTTCTCCATCACAATTAATGAATTTAATATAGATTTCTTATGTATTAATGTTAATCTTTTTCAGAAAACGTAAATTAGCACATGTTAAATTCTATGAGAAAAGGGGGCATAGGGAGATATCGTAAGTATTCTATGAAATCTAGTGCTTTAAATAATAAACTTCTGTTTTGATACTTTTAACACTTCCGCGTTACAAAAATTGACGTTTTGAAAACTTTTACTTTTTGTTATTTCTGGCTGTAATATTTTGTTATCATTATTTCAAATTGTCACACAAATTTTGAATCAGAGCCAATCATAAATTTTCTCAGGTAAGATTATGTGCGTAACCGGGGTTTTTTTTTTGTTATTTCAGAGAACAAGATGCTGCTAAGAATAAGAAGTGATATTAAATTGTATATAAAAGTTAAATTAATATCAGAAGAATATCTTTCTTCTTTTTCTTCCATCCATTTCGAGAACAGGCATGATATAATAAGACCATAACTCTTTGAACCTGTCTGGCCGTTAAATTATTATGTCTGTATCCCAAATGGCTGGTATTCCAGCCTTGGGTAACGCATTGGAAATTCAACCAACTGTACTCCGATCAGACACATGTTACAAAGTAATTTCTCTGCATCACTTGGGGATATAACTCGTATATTCCTGAAAATATCATTGTTTTATGGTCCACGGTTTGATCCTGATGTTAAAGGTCCCAATGGTTTTTCCAGCATGGTTTTCTCTTGTCAGTGGTGAAGGACACAGGGTTGAGCAAGTAACAGTGCCTAGTTATTAGAAAGGGACGAAAGACCAAGGTGCCATCTTGGCATGCCCGTAAAAGAACCATTGACAGTTGGAACTCAAAATAACTGTAGGCTGTAGCACCACTGTCTAGGCAAAATTTAGAACATAGCATGATGTATGCCTGTCTTGATTAGCCTGGTTGACTCAGAAAAGTAGGATGTTAAACGTCATTTCAATTCCCTCACAGTCCAGAATCTTTTATTTTGCGCATTAACTAGATTTTAGTATTGTCACCCATTACAATAAGAAGTGTTACAGACAGGGTTAGGAAAAATATTCCTGTGGGTTAGAAGCTCTTCTGCATATCCTCTGTGGATCCAGGGGGCTAGGGTGGGCAAGATGCTGGCTCGCTAGTTTGGAGGTTAGGTGTTCGATCCCTGCATTGGCCACGTAAGTTCATCAGGGGTTTTCCGGCATGGTTCCCCCTTGTCAGTGATGCAGGACGGAGGGCCTGACAAGGACAGCTGTCTAGTTGTTTAGATGGGACGAAAAATCAAGGTCCCATGTACACATTGGTGTGCACGCAAAAGATCCCTTGGCAGTTGGAAGTCGATAAAAGAGTAAGCCGTAGCACCGCTGTCCGGCCAAAATTTCCTTCATATCACACTATGGCGTATGCCGTCTTCATTAGCCCAGTTCGGAGCAGAACAGTAGGACGTTAAACCCCATTTCATTGGATGTGGTTTCAGAGAACAACTGGCATTGAAGTTAAATGTTCAATTTATCCAAAGAAATTGGTCAATATAGGAGGAAGTCAATCTTGGCCCTTCTTGTTATAGTGTCAATAATTGTCATTATTAGAGAAAAGTTGAGGAATAAAACATTATTATATAAGTTGAAATATTCAAAAAGTAGTAGTCATTGAAAGACTGGTCTTTATTTAATTTACAATTATAAATACACACGAAAATAAATGGATTATTTGAAATAAATATAATTATTTGAAATAAATATAATTATTTGAAATAAATATGATTATTTGAAATGAATATAATTACTTAAAGCAAATAAGTGATTTGAGTCTAGTTTATTTACAGCCAGTATAGAATTGGGCATATTTTTCCTTGAATCATTTCTTTCCAAGTTGAGTATTTGAAGCAGCTACTGTTTGTGCATTATTGCAGTTCATTACAAAGTTTAGCATACACCCTTCACATACTTTCACCGTATTGGCTGGCGAGGCATCACTCACTAATATTTCACTACATGCTTGACCTAAAATATAAATTCACAATCATAATGAGTAATAAAAAATTTTATACTGTAAAACACATACGTTTCATACTGTAAGACACATACGTGGTATACGTGGTAGTTTCATACTGTAAAACACCTCATTGGTTTTCTCCAGGTCCTTCAGGCTCCTCCCACTGCTAAAAAGACCCCTACGCGCAAGCGAATTATTGAAATAGAGTTGAACCATATGTTAGTCCCGATATGACCTGGTTTGTGTCGAGTGGACGATAAAAACTTTCTCTCTCTGTCTCTCTCCCTCCGTTATACCGATACGTGGTATATTTGGTATTTCTATACTGTAAAACACATACATGTACGTGGTATAGGTCCAGTATCATCGGGTAAGAATTTCGCTATGGTTTTTGATTCATATGAAAATTGAGAATCAAGAATGCTACTGGACACTGGGCTTAGTATAATCTTTCATAACTCAATATAGCTACTTGGTGAATCTGACTGCCGATACATGTTGGAGTAACTGGCACCTGTATTAAATAGCTATCATGTGGCCAAGAAACGGTCAGATGTTTCCAATTCTACCGAGACGAGCAAACTCACCATTAAAGCCCGAACCTAACAGAAAAATAGTTGTCAGTGATATCCCTTCCGGTGGACCTTAAAACCCAAAGCACAACAACAAACAAAAGTGCAAATAATGACTTTCAGACCATACACCTAGGTTGATTTCGGCTTATCCCGCAATGATTCGTTTGAATAGATCTTATCCTACTAAAAAGGGATTTTTCGGGCCATTATTTCAGGAATATAACTAATCGTAACATAAATTATGGTCATCTGTGTTCACAAGTTTTGTGTTATAAGTGTCTAAATTCTGAAAACATCAATCATTCCTTATTTTTGTTAATTTACTATCTGACGAACATTATTCAGTCCTTATTTTTGTTAAAAATTTAATCTCGTGACTTTCGGCCGTTAAATCCCTCGACTGGACTTTTGATTTTCTCAATGTTCCCACAACCGTTAGCCATTAGATCAAAACGTAAGTAGCGCTCCTTACATCACCCGAGGAGACAGACTGACTTTTAGGGATACACTCTCATTTTTGTCTTAAATCCAGTATCTTTCTAGTAAGATTGGATGTCTTTACTTTCCATATAAATTGTCATACTTGTATTGGAAATAACTACCCGAAAAGTTCTTTCGTGTATCTTTTTAAAAATTTAACAAATTAAGGCTGAACATTTACTCGTGATAGTATCATACATAATATATTTATTAATAATCTAAAACTTACGATATCGTGAACAAAAAGTTAGAATGTTGGTGGATCCAAACAAGTAATTACATGTTCCAGAATTATAAATTCTTCCTTCTGTTGAAGTACCATATCCAACGCCAGCAGTTCCATAGCCAAGGCCAGCGGTTCCGGTTCCATAGCTTAATCCAGAAGTTCCATAGCCTAAACCAGACGTTCCTAAACCAGAAGTTCCATATCCCGCGCCAGACGTTCCATATCCTGTGCCAGACGTTCCATATCCTGCGCCAGGCGTTCCATATCCTGTGCCAGACGTTCCATAGACGGAATTGTATCCTACACTTGGATTGTAATACTGAGCAGATGAAATAGTTAAAATAACCGCCAACACAACGAAACACCTCATTCTATCATATGAAAATGAGAATTTTTCTTAATATGTTACCTTGTCGATCAATCGTCTTAGTGAATACCCCCTCCAAGCCTGCTTTATATACGCCGGTTATTGTGCACTTGAACATTATTATGAGTCGATAAGTCAAAGAAGTAAAACGTCGTCATATTTCCCGCTCCCTGTGGTAACAGCCATGTCCATAAGAAAGGACACAGGCGGAAATAAACAAATAACGCTTGTATGTTTTTGTTTAATATCGCGAGGCATTGTTTATTTGTTAACTGTTTAATTGTCTGATTATATATATTTGTTGCTTATGTTCATATTGAAGGGTCAACACGCGGTTACCGAAGTTTATATTAGACATGACTGCGTTGTATGCCATCTGAATAGGAAAATTATTAGGCTATTTTTGGACATTATGTAAATGGAGAGTTAGATTTTAAAAAATATGTTTGAAGTTCTCGTGTAGTATTCAACACATCGGTATTTATTTACTTTTTGTCTAAAAACGTTTTTAATAAACTGCTTCATGTCAAAAAGCGGATATACCTGTAACGTGTTGACACGAACTTAAATAATTCAAATTACTTCTTAATAAATAAAAAGAAAAACAAAGCAAGTAGAGTGACCAACCAGAATGTTTATGGTTTTTTCCACTTCGACTTCACTTTTCTTAATAAAATTCCAAGCATTTAATATAAATAACGCAATATGTCGCGTCAAGTTGGGCGTTGGCTCACTAAACCAGTGAACATCATCTAGTACTTCGGATGGGACGAAAAATCAAAGACACCGTGTACAGGTTGGTGTGGACACGTTCCCCCTGATCGCACAATATATGGCTTCTGTACGTCTTCATTATCCCATTTCATTTCATTTTCCCACAGCAGATTGCGCACAAATTAAAAAAAAAACGGCTTATAAATGAAATGAAATGAAATGGCTTTTAACGTCCTACTGTTCTGCTCCGACTGTCTTGATAATAACTTATAATATTATAAAAATAAACAAAGTGGAAGCGATTTTTAAAAAAAGCGTTAAACCCCATTTCATTTTATTTCATTTTTTATCAAGACATGTCTGCTCGAGAGAAAATGAGGACTAGTAGTGATAGCCTCCCTTGAATCGCCCAGGACTCGCAGACTTCCTGTTAACCGAGATATAAAACAAGTCTCGATTACTTAGGGGCAGATGAGATGTTTGTAAACAGGATCTTATCATCAAGTGTTTTTAGACCAGTAATAGGTCTATGTTATATAAATGTTATAAAACGGAATTCGACACCCTTCTGTAATAAAGGTAAGAACGGGTTCTTAATTGAATATTCGGTTAATCAGTTATACGCATGGGAACTATGACATAGGTCCGGCAATGCCACTAAGGTTTCACACATTGCAACATTGTAATAGTCTGATGACAATCGTTACGTAAAGTCTCAACAGTTCGTTGGTCATTATATATCCTCAACTAAGTTTGGCCAATATGCGGGACTTTATCATGTCTTTATCACTAACGATAATATCACCGCTTGGAGAGATACTGTCAATATATAAATAAAACCGAAGCTGCCATGTACACCCTGCTATATGAGCCGCCATTCAAATGGGTTCATTATATATTACTGTGATACAGCTTAAAACAACTAAACCTTTCATTTAGGTAAAAACAATAAAATGAACTCAGATAAAATATGTTTGTTTTTCGAAAAATTAAGCAACATCAACCTGTTTATAAGATTTTATAACTGCTTCAGGTGCTGCGTTTGCAACAAATTTGAGTCTCTACAAGAACGTGGAAATGTCGGATGCTGAGTGGGCCAAGAAATTAACAGATGAACAGTATCATGTTGCTAGAGAAAAGGGGACAGAAGCGGTAATTATATCCTGTTATAATGAGGCTAATATTTATGCTTTTGACATTCATAAATTGGAATCAGAAAACTGAACTTTGTAAAATATTTGTGATAAAATAGTTATATTAAAGATACTTTCCTGCATACAAACTCAGTGATTTGATGATATATTTGAACTAAAAACATATTCAAATTAATCAATCAAAAATTTGCTTCAAATCCCTCTCAAAACTATGTTTTCATTGTGTGATACCCCAAGCTATAAAGAAACTGTGTTTAGACGCCATGACTGTCACCTCGCTTCGTTGGGAGAAGGGTCCATTTTTCAGAGTAGATTTTTCTACTTACTTTCCATTTACCATACATAATGAGGCCAATGAGGTCTTTTGTAGTACACCCCTCTATTTTCCCAAAACCGCCTAAGCAATGAGGTCTTTTGTACGTACACCCCTCTATTTTCCCAAAACCACCTAAGCAATTGATCAAGAAATACCAACCGCTCGCTCATTCAAGCTAGCACACAATAGTGATACAATAGTGACACCCTAACATTTTTGCCCAGTGCTTGCCCATTGGTGTTTTTCGAGTAATCCAATATTTTTCTACTAAGATTGGGTGTCTGTACTTTCTATATATACCAAATTTGCCATACTTTTATCGGAAATAACCACAGGATAAATACTTTTGGGACAATGTATCTTTAATGACAAAGAAAAAATTGTTACTCCTGTCTTTTTTAAAACTTGACTTCAAGAAGAATGTTAGACCAAGAAAATGATAATGAATTAACTTTTATTCACCATAACATTTTCAGATTTTATCTAAATGTTAGTTAACATAATGTGGGATACAGAAAATTGAATTTCTGGTTTTGTTTTAATTTTCCAGCCATTTACAGGAAAATATTATGATCATTCAGAAAAAGGAAACTATACATGTGTTTGTTGTGGTGCAAATCTCTTTAGGTATGATCATATTTATTTTAGAAAAAATTTCAGAAAATTATTTATGAGAAGACTAGACTGTATTCCAGCCACTTAAAGTGTTTTCATTTATCAAAAATCTTACTAACAGTAAAGAAAGTAATTAGTAAAAATTCTATTAGGAATGAAAATTTCTGACTAGCATATTAACATTTCTAAATTGATAGATTTACTTATAGAAATCATTTTATATCTTTTATTGTAGTTCCACAACTAAATATAATTCTGGGTCAGGTTGGCCATCATTTTATGATACATTGAAGAATGGTGATAATAAGTCTCATGTAGCAGAACACAGTGATAAAAGTCATGGTATGGTTCGTACAGAAGTTACATGCACACAGGTAAAATATGTTAAAGGAGCTAAATCGCTAATATTTGGGACCTAGAAATTGAATTAAATGGGTTGCAACGCATATAATAATGTATTATGAATGAATATAAACGTATTTACATTCAATTGTTTCTGTTTTTACTATAATTTCTAATCAGTTTTGGGTTCACAGTGGCTAAGTGGGTAAGATGCTGGCTCGCTAGCCTGGAGGTCGGGTGTTCGATCCCTGCATTGGCCAAGAAAGTTCACCCAGATTTTCCGGCGTGGTTCCCCCTTGTCAGCGATGCAGGACGGAGGGCCTGACAAGGACAGCTGTCTAGTCATTCGGATGAGACGAAAAACTAAGGTTCCGTGTACATATTGGCGTGCACAGAAAAGGTCCCTTGACAGATGAAATTAGATATAAGAGTAGGCCATAGTCCGGACAAAATACGTATGCCCGTCTTCATTAGCCCAGTTCGGAGTAAAACAGTAGGACGTTAAACCCCATTTCATTTCATTTCTAATCAGTTATGTTCGGTGAAGCACGCTGGTTATTCCAGTCTACACGATAGTATTTATTGCACATGCTCTCCAGATAAGAAAATGACATCACCATTTGACCTGACTTGTGGAATATGTCTAGCCTCGTTCTTCGTGTTCCTTGTTACAAATGGCACTGAAATGAATTATGGTACAGGATTCATGTACCAATGGTAAAATGTTTATTTTGTCTTAAATATTGGATATCAGAAGCCCATCTTTTCCTGGTAAGATCACAACATTAATGTCGATTTAAATTGACAAATAACTCATGGTTTTAATGTCGAAGACTTTGGATGATATTGAGTTAGAGACTTAGTTACTTTAAAACTATCACCACAAAAACAAAATATGGTTAATTTTCATGCCATTTATCATAAATAAACACTTCCCTGGAGAACACCGAATTCTACAGGTTGTTTATATTATTATAAATCATATTGTCAAATATCTATTGCTTTATCTCAGGAATTGGTGAAGACTGGACCTCTGATTTTGTCCCAAATTATTATGAACAAGTCTGATTTATGTAATGATATAGTTAAACCAAAAATCATTTGAAAAAAAAAACACCATTGTCAATCTTAATTATTAAAATATTATGCCTGGGATTTTAAGTCAGATAAATACTATGATTAAACATATAATAAGTAAATTAGTATGTTTTGTCATGGCAGCATCATTCTTACTTCTTAAAATATTTGCATGTGTTCAGATGTGGTCCCTCTTTTTCATCCTTCCAAACCAAAACACACTCAAGTTGACTCAACCTTCCATAGACTTAGCCTATTTCTTAGTGGCCTTTTCTTGAAAGAGAGTCCCAACAAACTGTTTGGAAAAAGAGTGGGAGGAAAAATTGTATGGACTTCTCTGATTATTGCCTTATATCCAGTAATTTTTATATTTTCCTGTACTCATATGTTACATATTCCTCTCATTGTTACTGAAAATTAAGTGAAAATGATTGGTTAGTATTAGGAATAGAATAGAATGACTTTCTTGATTTGAAATGAATGATTCAATTCTTATTTGATTCATATTCTGTTTTACAGTGTAATGCTCATCTTGGTCATGTATTCAACGATGGTCCAAAACCAACTGGTCTCAGATATTGTATAAACAGTGCTTCTTTAGGTTTTAAACCTAAAATATAGTAATACCTATGTAAATGAACCGGACTTCAGTAGATGTGAAATTATAGTATATTATGCAATAAAATTGTTAAATATTTATTCAGATTTTCTCATAGCCATATGATATTATTAAAAACTATGAACTTGTTAATTTTAATGTAATGCATATATTTGTATTTAAAAATATTTTTTATTGTGGCTGTATTGGTTTTTCTTTAATCGTTTCTCGATTTCCTTTAAACCAAGCGTTGAACCGATTAATTGTTCATATAATATTTGTCTAATAACTAATACTTGACTTATCGATTACCAGTGCTCCACCCTGAGACCCCCCCTCCTCCCCGCTTTGCAGAGGCTTCAGATTTTAACGGATATTGTTCAGATTTGTTTTAAAAAGCTTGGAGTGATCAGAGAAGACTAACCCTATAGATAAACAGCTACATATTTTTTTTTTGTAAATCAACACTTTTTATGAGAAAAATTTCTCGGCCGTGTGCTTTATCCTTTATCGTCAGATGTGGGACAGGATGGGCACTCAAAGCACGAGATAATGATATAGACATTACATGTATGTGATATCACAATTGATGCTTTGCATCCATGAAATTGAATCACAATTTCATTGTATTAATTCATAATAAAAATTGACGTCAAACGAGGTGTTGAATTTCTCTGTTTAAAAAGCTCAATGTGTATGTATATACGCCATAATGGCGATAGAGGCAATGCGAGAGGGGGGGGGGGAGATACATTGTCTCAGGAACCTGGCAAACCCCCTCCTGCAAAAATTTCTGGATCCGCCCCTGAATAGGTTGTTTGTAAGTGATTCAAAGCCAGTGAAGTGTTATCCTAGTATGATATTGGCAAAAAAGGCTTCAGTAGAATAGACCACACATCTTCTCTTTTCCTGTTTCCAATATTAGGCCTTGTAATCCTACACCAATTCCCTTATAGGAGGGTGAGAGTTGATGAAAGATCGATTTCCAGGCATCAATGTGGAAAAAGCAGAGTTCTCAGAAACCAAAGACTGAGAAACATGGAAGAATGTCCGCAAGGGAGGGCTAAGATCACTTTGAACACCATATTGCTTAGGGTTTTGGTTTATTTTACATCTTTGGGGGGGGGGGGGGGCAAAGTTTGCAATTCTGCCTTTCCCGATTTATTCCTGTGGGGTTATCAGTCAAATTTGATTGCCGTGGGGTCATATAGAATGTAAGGTGCTTATTCATTTTGTCCATACTGAAACTAACAGACTCATTAGTTCTAATGAGCAAATTTAGACATTTTCAGTTTCCTCCGATAAAGTACTTCCATAGGAAGGCTGTCCATACTTGGCTCTTACTCAAATTTGTTTTACGTGAACTTGCTTGATCTTTTTCGTTTTGAAAACCTTAAATCCACAATTAGTGGACTGTTAGTTATTTTCAGACCGTTGCTTGAAATGGCGTATTTCAAAAGCATTCGGAAAATTTCTCCGAAGCAATAGTAACGATTAGATCAGCTCATTAATGATGCTGGTAAGTTGTACCACTGCTTCAGGAATATATAGATAGACAAACATATGTCCTAAAGCTATGTATTGTATAATAAAATCTATTTTTTGGCTAGGTGGGCCAGATGCTGGCTCGCTAGCCTGGAGGTCGCATGTTCGATCCCTGCATTGGCCGAGGACAGCTGTCTAGTCCTTCGGATAAGACGAAAAACCGAGGTCCCGTCTATACATTGGAATGCACGTAAAAGATCCTTTGGCTGTTGGGATTCGATATAAGAGTAGGCGATAGTGCCGCTGCCCGGGCAAAATTTCTCTCATAGCACACTGTATGGCGTATGCCCGTCTTCATTATCCAGGTAGAAGCAGAACAGTAGGTCATTACACTTCATTTCGTCAGCCATATTGTATTATGTATTTAGAAGAGATTTTAATGAACACTTGGTTGGGAAACACAAAACGTTTATACAAGAATAGTGTTCTATGCCTTTTATAGAACGAGTGTTTATCACGTAGACATTCAATCAAAGCCTTTTAACCCACTGTGAATGGTCTGTTCTGTGTATGCTTGACCATTGCAAATCAATATTAATAAACACAAAAAGAAATATTCATAAGTTGACTTGAGGTCTTTTGTTAGAAATCAATAATAGATATAGGTTATCATATACAAATCAATCTTATAGAATGTGTTTTTCTAGATTTATAAAGGTGAACAAATCATTTATGTTTCACAGAAGATCTAAATGGGATATGCATTAGAATCGCGCTCTTTGAACTAATACTCTTGAAATGTGATCTTTACACACGAGTGTTGTATTTAGTTATGTCACTATTAGGTTGTCAAGTTGTGTGATTGGTAAATGTTTTGTAAAAAGCTGTAATGCTACGGTGATCAAGCTTTCAAAATTCATTCACAATAACTCTTATGTTCAACAAACGTATTGGGATTTAGAACACTCCGCAAGAGCTTTTAGGAGCTGATCGAGACTTCAGTAGTTACTTGGAGTTGAACGATGCAAGGTCGGTCGATACTGGAGTTTAAGAAGCATTAGGTAAGCCAATACTGGTGTGTACAACTTTTATGTATATATTTTATTTTAGTATTGGGATTTGGAATAAATATATTTATAAAATAGATATTGAACTTTAATGTTTATAGATTGGTGCCCAATATACAACCTAAATTGAGGTGGAAATCGCTGTAGCTTCTCTGTAGATCTGAAGTTGGATTTCAATGGCAATATTTTGTGTACATCATGTTTTTTTAGTCTAATATTATGTAACAGGGGCGTGCTGGCAGGGAGTTTAGGAGGACGGTGTCCTCCCAGGCCCCCATTAAACAATAAGTCCACCCGTATAAGCGGGCCCCCCTGAGAGCTCTAATTTTCACGCGGAATCCCCTCAAAAAATTGAGAGGGCGCACGCGAAAAATCATACATACACAACGATTAGTAAAATATATTATGCTGACGTGCAAATGTCTGTCACCTTAAGGTGAAATGGTCTTTGATACATGTATTCAAGCCTCGATATGTATAAGATGCAATTTATTATTTGGATAGAAATACATTGTATTAGCATTATATTCAACAGACCTGTCATGAGTGTCTTGTGTAGTACAGTAATATGTCTTATAGTCAAAATAGCAGCATAAATTTGGAAAATATGATACCTAGATTTCTCCCAGAAGTGCTTGCAAAACGCGTTTCCCGTTGTAAAATTTCAAAAATTTTCTGGGGGGAGAACGCCCCCAGACCCCTTCGAGGCCAGCACGCCCCTGTTATGTAATAAGAAGGCTGTTATAAATATATTAGTTTTAAATTCTAATATTGGCTACAACAGTATTGTTTTAGTTTTCCCGCACCCGAAAGGATTAATTGAGATATGCACAGTTATTTCGATTTAATACAAATAATGGAAAGTTTACTATAGATTAAAGTGCTGTAATCGTTAATACCTGTATTTTCCTAATAGGATAATCTCTGGAAAACCTGATTTTTATAGTCATTACAGCCCAATGCTCTTTGGTTATTTATACAATACTATTATCCATGGTTCTTACACAACAGCCATTTCACCCGTAAAGGTCAATATGCATAGAATTGCAATAAAGTCAGTCATTAGTTATCTTAATGATCAATGTTTGATCGGAAATCGATTCTTTTGCATTGTTACATGGTACTTGAAAGCTCTCTGCATAAAACTGTTACAGCCTAAACTTCTCAACTTTGTTTTTGTTCGTACTTTTTTCCTGTCAAATTATGAAGATAATGTCTCTGTCGTCTTGGGGATTTAATTATGAAAATAAATATCCAGATTTCTTGCTAATACAAATCACGCCAAGATTCTTTCAAAAAGATTGTGATGTGTATTATTTTTGGTCCAGTAACGCACCCTGTTGTTCTTGTTCTTCTTGAGGGCCACCCTCTTCGAAAAAAACAACGCCAATTCAAGTATGATCGACTTGAAACTTGGCATGCCGTTCCTTGACAATTGTCACAATTTCAAGATGGCTGAGATGGCCGTGCTCGGCTACTGGATCATACGCTCGAACTTGTTATATCGGGATTGACCTTGAATCTTTTAAAAAAATATCACAAGAGAGACGTCATACTCGACAGTTTTCCGGTCATTTCGGAACTAACATGTATCTTTATTTCAATAATTCGATTGCACCCGGTTAGCATGCAGTAGGGCGTTACCGGACAACTGAAAAATGTAATTTGTATGCCCGTATAAGATAGATTGATATATTTATTTGGCACAAACATATACAACATATTAAATAAAATCATAAATTATATGCTTTATATATATAAAAAAAATAACAGTAAAATCACATAGGATGCTGAACATAAGATAGAAGAATATTATTCAAATATTAATATCACAGAATACTTCCCAATGGACAGAAAGTTAATTTAGCAGAGAATTAGCCTACAGCTATATGAATTGCGGACCTTGGATTAACCAAGGCGCGTTATTTAATCTGATAAGCACACAGTTATCAGTAGAAGTAATTAGATTAATGATGTAAATCAATCGATCACAGTCAATCCCTGTAATTAACACGTTGTTCTTAGAGACTGAAATAGTTTTAAAGGAGTTTCATAATGAAAGAAACCACCGTGTAACAATACTATTGACGGAATCTATTCGTGACGTTTTAGATTGTAAATAACGAGAACAACCGATCCATCAATGCCAAATTATTGTTATGAGCACGGAAATAAGTCTTGTCCGACCTTCAAATTGTAAATCGCCTATATTATATTAAGCAAGATACAACATTGGTGCCAAGCAATAGGCTTGAAAGTGATCTGTACGACTACTATACAGGTAGAAAGACTTTGTCTAGGTTTTATTTCATAATGTATTATCTTTTGATTAGCTTACATCTTATCAATGCCTCACCTTGTAAGAAATGTGTTTTAATATTTCAGATCTTTTAACAATCTGAATGGAATTACTTCAAAATGATCAGAAGAAACATCAAGTTCGGGCTTTGCAAGTTGAAAGAAGACGTTTCGAACTCGAATTAGCTAATTTTGATGCCGCCAAACGTTTCATTGCTGTGGATATGCGAAAAGCTCAAACTGAAATGAAGCGTAGATTGAAACGTTACAAGGATCGCCAAAAGGAAATAGTTGCAACTCGAGTTCCACCAGAAAGAGAAATTTATGGACAGTTTATCACACGACCCACCACCGCATCCAGTTTTAGGAGTCGACTTACTTCAAGGCCATGTACATCCTCTTATATTCGCAGAATGAGTAAATATTTAGACACGGATGATGACGAGGAACGTGAAATCGACCCCGCGTTTTTAACGGACAGAACGCGTTCAAAGATCGATCTACGCCCCAGCTCAGCGTGGTCTTTCAAAAACAGGCCCGAGGTGAACACTGGCACACTGGATTATAGACGCAATGGATGTTCTCTTAAAACTCTACGCTTGGGGACCCCAGCTTCCCAGATACGTTATTTCGATGAAGATGAGTTACGTGAACGTAATTTGATTTACTCTCAAATACTGGATCAACACAAAAGAAAAGAAAAGGAGCATTTTGAAAAAATAGCTTTAAAAGTTTTAGACTTTTGTGATAATAAAAAATCTCCAGCAAATAAAAAAATTAAATGTTGCAGGCGTGTTGGCTGTGTTATTTCAGTTAAAAAATCTTCAATATTAAATTCTCGGTTAAATGAAACGCCTATTTCTGTGCTTCCTAACCACAAAAAGAGCGTAGTTTTTAATTCCACTAACCAACTACATGTATGTACATAGTTTGTTTTCTGTTTTAAAAATGATAATATAGAATTAGATTTTCTTTTTATATATTTTGTACTTTTTGTATTCTTTTCATACCTTTTAGATTTTAATATACAAAATTAGTTTCTCTTTAGTTATGGTTTTCTTCTAACAGCAATGCAATCTGTTTTAGTCTATTGGTTACTAATTGCCCGTCTGTCTTTTCGGTAATAATCGACTTCTTGGTAGTAAAATCTGGTGTGATTTCAAGGAAGTTTCACATTTAGAATTTGAAGAATACCCGTACCCAAAGGTCATAGTAAAGGCATTTCTATTATATACTTTTTAAACTCAAAATATGGTAAATTATTTCTGAATGTGCAAAGTTTGAATATGTTTAATGATGTAAGGAAGGCGAATTAAGTATGTCTTTTATTATTCTTCAGTCAAATATCCCGATATTGAAGGAGACTGCTACAATTAAAAATATCTTAATATCTTAGCTTTTATGGTTAGTTAGGTAGATTACTGTTTAACCGATGGGCAATAAAAGTCCTTGGGAAATGCCAGTTGATCAAACTTGGCAGAACTCTCTATAAACGTCTTAACAGAAGAATTCTGCTTTTATGTTCGTTTTAGGTGGGATCTAAGTCTCTTAAGTGTTGTCTCCTTTAGTAGAGAGCACCTCTTTCCCAAATTATCTTTACCTATCCATAAATTCCATTAATATTCTTGTCGCTTTATTGTTTCTGCTTGCCCTTACGGTAATCATTTCTAATAACCACCTTTTATAAAATACACTAATCACATCATAGACTTATAAAATTATATTCATTATTGTTTTATAATGCCACTTACTGTCATGGAAATCACTATTTATTCTCTGTACCAGTAGTCTACCAAGATTCCACCCAAACAACGTCTCAAAGCAAACATTCTGATTTTATTCAGTTTTTGTTTAGATTCACTAAAATTCGTTAACCCGAAATGTTTTTAGGGATTATTTTAAGTAGTTGCTATGGGTACTAAACTGTACTTAATATTTATACCCTTTTTGTGACCTTTTTGAAAGAATGGCTGGTTTGATTGCGCCCTATTAATGTCCAATCTCTACTTAATTATTCATGGTAAGATTTCTGGTGAGTGGCCAGAATGAAAGTTGCTTTGGGTGTGGGGCTATAATATAGAGAAATTTTCGGACCTATATTCTCCAAAATAGTCAGTTGAAAGCAGAAAGCAAATTATACAGAAAAGCGATACTCAAGATTAAAATCACGTCGATATTTTTGCGTGTATGCCCGCTAGCCAAACAGCAGTTAAAACAGAAATATGAATGCGAGGGTTCTCTGAAAGAAGTTTAGTACATCTTTGTAATTGTTTAGATGTACGCTAGCAATTGAAGCACTTTTATATCGGACGCTTGTTAATGCAAATCGAATCCAGAAGTACAGTTGATCATTATAAACAAGTATTATATACGGAAAAGGAACCAAGCATACCGTCAAAGCCGCCATCTTGAAATTGTTACATCAAAAATCGAAGTCCGGCAAACGGTTCGCAATTGTCCAAGGAACGAGCATTCCAATTTTATTGTCGATCGTCCTTGAATTGGTGGAGCCTAAGGCTTATTTTTTCGAACAAGATGATTAGCACTTGGGGAGGAATTCTTCGTCCAAAATTTAATCTGATTCAGCTTGTTTCTCGTCTGGATGTTGGATATGTAATATTCTTCTCATCTTTGATTGTCTTCTTTTCGTGACATGCATGGACATTCTGAAATACACAAACACAAGTAACTAGGCAACAACACATTTAGCACCTAGCAGTTTTGCCGTCTGTGACACTATGAAAATACCACCAACGAATTCTTAGTGATCAAAGTCACAAAGCTACCTCTTGGGGATGGAAATATAAAACACTGGTGTAACTTTTCAGCTTTATATTTTTTCGTAGGTCAGGTAATAATAGACTGATCTGTGTGAGATAGGTATTTTAATATTTATACAATATATTCCATTGGAAGTGGGATAAGACAGATACCTTTCGGCAAGACGTATATCTCTCCATATCTTTGATCCACATTACATACTATGCTGTTAGTAGTGAGTGACGTTTTTGACTAGGCTTTTAGTCTTTACTCAGTAATAAGCAGTTATTGTATTCCATAGAATTGTATCTTGTGCATTTTCCATTTAAATACCATCGGAACTATCTTTTATCCAGATGGTGTCAAGCAAGCATTAACTTAACCAAAGTTTGATTGTACCTGGACGCAACCAAGCCTTATGAGAAGACTAATTGGATCTTTCGGAGATCTCTTTGGGAAACAACAGGTAATATGGATCGTTTACTAAAACCTTTCCAAACGTCAATGAAAATAATAGACCAATTATGTTTTACAACAGCCCGGGGTGCTCTTCTGGACAATGAAAAGTGTATCACAGAATGTTAAATACGCCTGGGTTAATCTTTCTCTGAACGCGGATACCATTACCCCGAATACTAGGTAAAACGCGCTGTACATGCAAATACTTACAATAAAAATATTGCTGCAATGAAATTAGATCCTGCCATAGCCAAAAATACGGTGCCTCTAAAATCGTCTACAGTATATTCATATATATTATTAAAAATACTGGCACTAATAGCATAACACATAGTTTGTACAACAGCTAACCCAGCAAACAAAGATCCTGTAAACAAATATAAATATATAATAACAAATATGCTAAACATAAACACATTGGGATTCTAGAATGTATCTGGTCATTTCAAGGGTTTTGCAATCATTACATGCAGTATAAAACATTTGTTCTGGTAATGTTAATCAGTAAATTCTGCTAAAAGAACGCATCGTTACCTTTATTAGAAAATGAGTGTAACCCGGTATTAGTGGCTAAATGGGGTTCCAGGTTGGGTCATTGGAACACAAACTTCTCGAATAGGGTCTAATTTTATTAGTCCGTGGTTTAACAGAAACAAAAATGTGTATACCAAATAGTACCTTGTTTGTCCCTGGATATTTGCGAGGACATGATGCCTCTTATAGCTGGGATGACAACAGCACTAGCTAAACTCAATCCCACAGCTGTAAACATAAACAATCGGTTAATTTATTGTTATGATAATTAGGATACCCTTAATAAATATTCACGATTAATAATATAATATATCTGTCGCATACTAACTGTAATCATTAAGCGTGTTAAATACAGGGTTGGGTGGTCGAGTATGGTGGTCTAAAGCCTGTAACGCTGGAGATCACAGTATCTACCATTTATGTAAAATCGTGAATAAGCTCATGTGTTTTCCGGTTACATGAGACCAAATGGCAAATACCAGTTTCAGGACCATGTACCCAACGTATGTTGCTATATGGCTTAATACAATCGCCTAGGAATTATTTTACTAACACCGAACGCATATAGCGGACGCCCGTTTCTGATTAAAACAGTTGTGTGCTTAAATAATTTAGAAGTATAAACACCGTAAACTGTATTGAATAATTTTAAATTAGAAGACTAATGTCAATGAAAACAGTCGATAATGGCCTAATTGCTAGAAAGTTTTGTAATTGCTTCGGGAATACGTAACAGCACGTGTCTACATGTAGGCTTTGTAACAATTCAATTAAAATACATACCTATATTTCGTTTTGTTTTTTATACTCTCGACTAAAACGAAACGAAATAGGATCTGTGTTTTAATCAGATGGACTTTGTAACAATCTGATTAAAACACAGATCCCATTTCGTTTCGTTTCTTATAGTTCAAAATTTCGTTTTATTTTTCTGTACTACACTAGGATCTGGAAGAGTTGTTATATAACAGGCGTTCTGGATGGCGTTCTGGATTAGCCAATGAAACCATCTGTGACGGCGACTTCTTGGCGTGCTATCCACGGAACTGTGGGTAAACCACTAGAAACGTAAACGCTGATTGATTAATCAATGCCTAACGTCATAGGGCCAAAAGCCGCTCGTACGACCCATGACGCGACCTTCCCGTACAAATGGTCAGATCTTCATGTAGTGTAGGCCATCGAAAGTATAAAGAAACGAAACGAAATATAGATCTGTATTTTAATCAGATTGACTTTGTAAATGCATGAACCTAAATCCATGAATGTATGTAAGTGATACAGTTTTGATAAGATTAAAATAACATAAATGGAACGTTATCAACTGATACATGCAGCTATCAGTAATGTTAGCTTAGCCTTCACCTGGATACTTGGATTTTTAATATTGACACTTTGTTACCCAAGAAACATTTAGAAACGTTGGTCTATTCGAATGTACAGCTAGGTTTGGAACCTCCAACGCTGTCTCAAATATTGTGCATTAATAGCTAATTTTCTGATCATGGACCGTTATGGCATTTTGATATTTCTCGAAGTATTTGACATCATTTACATTTACGATAGTTCTCGGGTTGGCTTTCCTTCTAAATTTGGACTTGTTATTTACAACATTTGACACGGGGCGGACTGCTAGGGTCTTCTAATAACCTGATATCACTACCCAGCTCGGGACGACGGTGGCTCAGTTAGTATGGTACCCACTATCCAAAACTCCTCGGGACTTTCCAGTCTGATTTCCCCTTGTCAGTGGTGCCGAACAATGCCATTCAAAAAGAAATGGAAGGGAGTTTAACGTCCTACTGCTCTGCCCCAACTGGGTTAATGAAGACAGGCATATGCTATACAGTGTGCTATAAGGGACATTTGCCGGGACAGTGGCACTACGGCCTACTTTATATCGAATTCCAACGGTCAATGGATTTTTTACGTGCACACCAATATGTACAAGGGACCTCGGTTTTTCGTCCCATCCAAACGACTATACGTTGTCCCTTGCCAGGCCCTCTGTCCTACACCTCGCCGGAAAATCCCGATGAACTTTCTCGGCGATCGCAGGAATCGAACACGGGACCACCGGGTTAGCGAGTCAACGTCTTACTCAGGCAGCTATCGTTGAAAAAATTCTTCATTCTTCATTGTACACTGTACTGACCCGGTTAGTATTGAAAAGAAAACCCCTGGTAGCCAATCCCGTTACAACGTATATGTAAATTGAAATGAAATGAAATTGGGTTTAACATCCTACTGCTCTGCACCGACAGGGCTAATGAAAACGGGCATAAACCATACAGTGCCCTAAGAAGGAAATTGTGCTCTGACAGTGGCACTACGACCTATTCGTATTTCGAATTCCAACTGCCAAGGGTTCTTTTACGTGCCCGCCAATGTGTACACGGGACCTCGGTTTTTCGTCCCAACCGGAATCGAACACGGGATCTCCAGGTGAGCCAACGTCTTACTCTCTGGGCCACCGTGGCTCAGTACAACGTATAGTAAAAAAAACGTACCAGAATGAACCGAATGTCAGGATGCTTAGCTATGCCAATAAAGCCCAGTGACATTGGCCATTCAGCATTTATATAGCCACATCATCTGACTTGGGCATTCCATGTTTGGTTCAGCAACTGGGTCCGAGGCGCCACTAATATTGTTGTTCTTCTTGTGGGCGATGTTTTTCGAAGAAAATCCAAATTTTAGTAGATACTTCAGTTTTGATTGGCTAAGCACTAAAATCAATCTAATTTTATCCAATCAAATGACTAAAATCAATCTAATTTTATCCAATCTTAAAATTTCGTGAAACAGGCCCCTGGTCCGTAAATGTCAAATATTACTCTGTACATGTAGCCTACTTTTGGAGACAATGCTCGTGCTACTACCCGAAGATACCCTCGCATTGCCTCTGTGTATATAAATGACAATAATTTAATACTTACATATATAAAGCATGATACTATTGGTAGATAGAGCTTGTTCAATATAGCCAGCGCATACAGATACTAAGCCCAAGATGACAACAGACTGCTCCGAAAGGCAAACATGTAGTACTTTCATAACAATAACACTCATAATGTTCTGGCCTGCCGTTTGAGCGGCGAAAAACCAGCCTATTGCGACAGAACTCCAACAAAACGGCTTCCCTAGCATATAGATAATGCTGAGAGATGCTTCAGTTGTTGTGATAATGGCGAAGAAAAATACCATAAGTAACATCATAAAAACAGCTCTTGATTTGTTTTCACCTTTTTTAACAAATACACTAAAAGTACGTATAATGCTTTTCATTGGTGACAGACGTCCCATTTTCCTGCGATCCACTGTTTCTGGAATTAATGCTACTACTATGAAAAAATCTATCAATGTAAACCCAAGCATGGCGATGCTGGGCCAAAAATAACCAAAATAATCGATTGCATATCCAATGACGGCCTGAATCGCTGCATCTGCAACGTTCTTTGAAGATTCAAGAACAGTAAGTGCTAATGCCCTTGTCTTATGTGGTGGCGTTACATCTGCAGCAAAAGCAAAGGCTGCCATGTAAAAGGCAAAAACAGAACCCAATAATCCATCAGTGCCATATCCAATAAAGAAAAAGTTCAGATCGAGTGTGAAATTAACAACAACTACAGTTGTAATATCTCTAACTAAACGGCCAACCAGCATAATTATAAATATAGTTTTCCGCCCAATAAAATCGGAATAAGATCCCAACATTAGGTTCGTTAAAATAGCCGGAATACTTGAAGCCAGGGAATATTGGAATAATTTAGCGGTGGAGTCTTCTTGGGCATGCTGTTCTTGCAGGGATGTTTTTATAGATGAATTCGGATTACAAGCATCTTGGTCTGGTGGCTTCTTGTGCGTCGAAGAGTTACCCAGATAGACTTCATCGTATCTAGAGTAAACATACTGCGACATGATATTTTTGTGAACTCCACTAGAAAGAGAATGAAATATTAATACAAAGGCGAGAATAGTAAGGTTTCGTATACTTTTTGAAGTAGTGACTTTATGGAGGTCAACACTTTCCTTGTCGTCAGCTTCGGCAAGCAGTTTCTCGTTGCTCCCAGATGCCATTTTACCCGTTGTTGTTCTGCATGAATTCTGTAATAAAAAGAAGAATTTATACGTTAGAAAAATACATGTACCAGATAAACATTAAGCATTTTGAAACCTTCGCTACATAACCAGTTACATGTACATTCAACTCATGTAGACGAGTATTCTGCACACTTATAAACCTATAATGGTAAATCTCTTTGATCTTTGGGGTATATTCTAAGCCCAAGGGGATATTGAAATACAAATAACTATGCAGGTTGTGATATAATAAATAGTCATGGACACTTGACATGCTTTGAGAGTATGTTCACAGATGTTGAAGTTATCGCCCCAACAGAACCACTAAGCTGCACATGCGACACGCAATAGCGTCATACACGTGGGAGGGGTTCATTATCAAATTTTACACTTCAAGGAAGGGTTGATGAAAACTGCCGCGTGCTGGTTTATCTATCCATGTCTGCTTTCCTATCGGTTCTTGCATAAGATTTACTGTTTAGCGTATCTTTGCTTTAGTGTGTTACGTTTAATTTGATCGGGAGACGTGTTCGCCGACGTCAACCGACAACACTGCAATAATTGGCCGTGGCACTGCAAGAGGAGTGGGTCCGATTGCCCCAAATCGTGATTGGACGGTTGATTAGGAGCATGCCACGACGAATTGCTGAATGTCTGAGGATTGGTAGAGCAATTACTAATTATTAAGACAAAAATCAAAAACGTCAATTTTCACTATTGACAGTGTATCTCTTTGCGAGTGAAATGGGGCTGTCATATAAGCCGCCCATATGAACTGTTTATGTTCATGTGTAGGCAATTGGCCTGTTATTAACATACACTGGTTACCTCTAATAAAAACAGCCGTGCATTTCCGCAGTTTTGTATTGTTTCCGAATATCCCCTACTTTTTTGAAGAGTATATATACTATTCAAAAAAAGTAGGGGATATTTGATTTTTAAGTGTTATTAAAGTCACCTAATGAAACTGACGAAGAAACAAATGACAAAATGAAATGAAGTTCACATTCATCGATTTATTCCAAATGATCGTTAGACTAAGTAAGGCACAGACTGACCATTATAAGGGTAAAATGATACCCGGGGTCAAACAGCAAAGTTACCACAGCATCACAACCAAGTCAGTAACGGGTAAATCCTCCTCTGTTTGCCAAACAAGCATTGATCCGACGTGGCATACTCTTAATGAGACGTCTAAGGTCATTTTGGTCCAGATTGTCCCATTCCTGTTGCAACGCAGCAGCAAGTTCTTGGACATTGGCAGGACGTTGTTGACGTTGACGTAACCTCTGTCCAAGCATGTCCCAGACATGCTCGATGGGGGAGAGGTCGGGACTCAGTGCTGGCCAAGGTAATGTGGTGATGTTCTGTTGTTGGAGGTAACCTGTAACGATCCTGGCCCTGTGACATCTTGCGTTGTCATCCTGGAAGATGAAACGGCGGCCATGACGTCGTGCGAACGGCACAACATGGACTGCCAAGATGTTGTCTCGGTAGAATCGGCCTGTAACACGCCCTGCAACAACATGTAAAGCCGTTCTTCCAGCAACAGTGAAGCCTCCCCACACCATAACAGAACCACCCCCAAATCGATCATGTCTGATGACGTTAACGTCTTGGAAGCGCTCGTTTCGACGACGCCACACCCTCCTACGTCTGTCCAAAAAATTAACAGGGAACCTTGACTCATCTGAAAACATCACATTGCTCCAGCGTCGATTATCCCAGTGTTGACGATCCCTACACCAACGACGTCTTGCCTGAATGTGATGATCTCTCAAACAAGGGATCACGCGAGGACGTCGGGCGCGAAGGTGACCCCTATGCAGTCGATTCCGAATCGTCTGTCCACTCACTCTCACACCAGTGTCTGTTTGAAGACGAGCGCTGATCTGATTTGCTGTGATGACACGATTTCTCAAGGCCAAGGTACGGATAAATCGATCCTGGGCTTGAGTTGTCGCCCTTGGTCGACCTGAGCGTGGTCTGTCCTGTACAGATTGTGTATCACGGTATCTGGACCATAGCCTGCTTATGACAGACTGAGAAACATTCATCGTCCGCGCCACAACCGCCTGTGTTGTGCCGATCTGTAGCATGCCAAGGGCACGTAACCTTTCATTTTGGGTAAGCCGACGCATATCAAAATTTGTTTTCTGGTCACTAAAACAATTAAACTGATGTTTCCACCCTGGAATTCAATGCCACAATGACTGTAACATTCAAAGTCAGAGTCGTGCAAATCTTGGGTTGGACCCCCATGATGATCCCAAGCATCACCTGCATTCCATGCGGTAGCTATTGGTGCGTTTGGGCGTCACATGTAACTGGAAATGTTTCTTCTGTTAGGTTCTATAGTGACTTTTTTCGTAGTCATTTGCATATTTTAGTATTATGCCCCCAAAATCAAATATCCCCTACTTTTTTTGAATAGTATATATAGGGGCATTTGAGGTTATTCTTCTGAAAGTTTTTCTATAAACCTGTAACGGGTTATTCTTCCATACGGTTTTTTTCCATAAGGTTTTTCTTACTGGAATTCTGGGATATTCTCATTTTACGTACATGTAAACATAGACGGTTTATAAGCAAGATAAAGTCCCCGACTTCAGTTATGCTGGGGAAGAAAGACTTCAGAAAAAAACTATTTCTTTGCCCAGTATAACCTCAATCTCGTGCTTTATCCTACACAGAGATGCATCTACTTCATACTTCGAGAATAGATCTCTGCACAAATTAGCCGCCATATCCAAAAAATAGTATACTGTTTTATAATGCGGTTCTACTTCGTTCACACAAAGACTAAATAATTGTTTTCAATTGTTATACGTCTACATAATGTGCCACACTCACTTTTTGTAAATATTTTGTCTGTAAAAGATTTACAGGTTGCAATAATTAATAGATTTGGATCCAGTTCGGTATGATCCACCATAGGGTTGTACCTATTTATATTGGCCCATGTCCAACCCCCAGGGGGCAGATCCACGCCCAGTTTTTGTGTTTTTGTCTACAGGCTGGAATTCTGAATGGACCATCTTGGAACTTGACATATTTATTCCTTATACTCTACAGGTTGCAATAATTTACAGATTTTGTTCAAATTCAGCATATCAATCATTTCAATAACAGGGTGGTACCTATTTATATTGTTCCATATCCATCTCCAAGGGGTAGAGCCACTCCCACCTTTTGTATTTATCGTCTACAGGCTGCAATTATGAATGGATCATCATGGAACTTTGCATGTTAATTCTTTATACAGCAACTATTTATTTTGGTGCATACCCCGACCTCCTGGCGCGGTGACACACCCACTTTTTTGTTAATATTTTAGTCTGTAAATTTGGCAAAACAAACCCGATGCCTAGCCTGCTTTGCGTCTTGTCATATTACAGTCATTGCAGCCATTTCATATTTCATTTTCTTCATTTTAAAAAGTAACATATCAATGTCTTATCAACTAGCTTAGTGTCTGTTCTCAAAGGGAGCTAACTGTAGACAGGCAGCCTAAGTTTAGTATGGGCCTATGGCAGACGAGCTGATCACATATCTGTGATATCACTAATGCGGAAGCAGACGTTAAACCACCAGCTAATAGTACTCACCGTATGCTTTCTTGGAGGTATAATTGCTTAGTTTCTGGAACAAAAGTCTAATTTGTTTCAGTACATTATATTACTATAAACCGTAATGTGATGGCACGCTACAAAACCAACTCCCTAAAACACATATCATTATGACAAAAGGCAAAAAGGAAGATAACCAATTTAGCCTATCGTTTCTGTTTATTGGGGTAACCTATATATCCACCCCAAATCATAGCCTGGGATAGATTGCGTCGTATAGGCCTATTAAAGACCTACGGCTTTGATAACAATGATAATATTTTAAAATAATTAATTAAGTCATGGCTAATGAAAATAAACCAGATAACTAATCTTAATCAAAAAACTACGGTGGCCTGTTAGTGCCATACATTGATTTATACCCTTTTCTTGTAATTTTCCTCATATGAGAAGGGTTTACACCGCGGAGAAATGATTTTTCGTGGTTTTTTTATCTATCTTAGTTTTAACAGCGATTTCTCATATGAGGTAAATTACAAGAAAAAGGTATTAATCAACGTTAAATCAACGTATGGCACTAAATTATTTGGGGAAATAAATTCATGTTCAAAATAACTTCACTGATGTCTTTCTATTAGTTTGAAAAATTTGAACTAATGAGAGTAAAATATATGTTATGGCCAAGGTTCATTCTTAATCTATCCTATAATTAATGACTGCCAGTATGTAGGGCGCTGACACACTACCAGGAGATCCGGGGTTTGATTTATGTGTTGTCCGAGAAGGCTCCCTGGATTTTTAAGCGTGAATTTCTCTTGTCATTTACACAGGGTGGTGGGGCTGGCAGGGTATACAGTGAGACCAAAAAAGACCGTAACACCGTTGTGTTAGTACTGCTGACTAGGCGACAGATGTGCAGAAATAGTTCTGACTATTGTAGTCATCTCTTGTAGACATGTAAATATAGTACATAATCTAGAGCACTATCTGTATGGGCATTATTGGATTTAGGTAAAGGGCGGGGGCGAGGGGGTTTGCCAAGTTCCTGAGACAGTGTATCTTCGGCGGAGAGGGGTCAGTGGTCCGGGTGGGTTCTCTTCCCCCTGCCTTGAAGATTTGTGAGAAATACATGGTCTGTATCTTCATTTTGGCGTATATCTGGGGTAACCAGGGGTGACTTTGAAAAAACTGGGATTTTACATAAAAACATACTAAATACATGTAGGCCTTCCTACTACGCTAAGTTTGAGTTCTACTGATATGCAATCAAATCAGTTTTGCACGATTTTAAGGGGGCAAAATAGAAAAAGAAAAACCGACCGCGAATATCAAGAAGATTCATCAAATAAACTTCAAATACGCCGCGGCACAGATAACGTGACAAGAGTCTAAAATAGAGTTTTGCACAATTACGATTCCAAATAATATTATTGGGGGAATAAGCGGCATACAATTTTTTTTTTTTTTTTTTCATCGATATCTCGCTCGAAAGTATAGTTAACGTTCATAAGGACTAA